GGTCATTGAGCATAGTGCTTAAGTCTCCAGCGATTCTGCCATAAGGACTATATCGTCGGCAAATCTAAGGTGAGTGATGTACTCGCCATTGATGTTAATACCGTATACTTTCCAGTCCAGTAGCTTGAAAACGTCTTCCAAAGCAGCGGTGAAGAGTTTCGGGGATAGAACGTCACCCTGTCTTACACCTTTCTGCAGTTGGATAGGTTTCGAGATCTGGTTCTGTACTCGGATAGCCATCGTAGCCCTACTGTACAAACACTTCAGCACTTCGATATACCGACAGTCAACTTGGCACCGCTGAAGGGACTGCAGCACCGCCCAAATTTCGACGGAATCAAAGGCCTTCTCATAGTCCACATACGCCAGGCAAAGTGGCAAATTGTACTCTTCAGTCTTCTGTACAATCTGCCACAGGGTAGGTGGTCTATGGTACTGAAGCCTTTTCGGAAACCGGCTTGTTCGGGAGGCTGGAAGTCGTCGAGTCTGCGTGCGAGACGATTCGTAATGACTCTCGAATACAGCACGTAGACGCGGCTCAGAAGGGAAATCGGTCTGTAGTTCTTCAAGAGAGCGTTGTCGCCTTTCTTAAAGAACAAGACCACCGCACTTCTGCTCCACGCCTCTGGAGTAGTGCCACAATGGAGGACGGAATTGAAGAGCTTCTGAGTCCTTCAAGTACCGGTGTTCCACCCGCTTTCAGAAGCTCCGCTGTAATTCCATCCTCGCCTGGGCCCTGCCGTTTTTAAGGTGCTGGAGAGCCATTCTAATCTCGCTTAGAATGACGTCCGGGATATCATCGGAATAGTGTCGGATAAGACTTGCTCTTGGATCGTTACTCACACTTGCGTGTGGCTCCAACGATGATGTGTACAGCTGCCCATAGAACCTCTCAATCTCACTCAAAATCTCAGGTGTCCCGGAAACAATGCTGCCACACTCAGTCTTCAGCCTTGACAGTTGGCTCTTACGGGCAGACAGATCTCTGGCAAAGACTTTGGAGCCCTGGTTCCGCTCGATCGCTTCTTTAATACGAGCAGTATTAAAGTTGCGTAAGTCTCGCCGCATACATTTGGAGATCTGTCTGTTCAGTTGCCTGTATGCTGTCAAATCTGTTAACGATTGCAGCCTCATCTCCCGTCTAACAGCCATGAGATTAAGAGTGTGATCGGAGAGTTTTTATGTTCTTCTGCGGCGGGTCTTGCAGAACTTAGCTCCGACCGCATGGACAGTTTCCACGAGCTTGTCATTCATATCGTCCACTGCATTGCAATCTTGTAGGCACTGAAAGCGGTTGTGTAACTCGAGCTGAAAGTTTTCGGGATTTTGGATTAGAGCACGAGGGGGGACGGAGCGTTGACTTCATTAGACGAGACCTCTCCAACTTAATGATTAGGTTCAGTGTGCCTCTAACCATTCGGTGATCGCTGCCAGTTTTCACCCTTGCGATCACTGAGACATCACTGAACAGTTGGCGTCTGGTCGTCATAATGAAGTCAATCTCGTTTTTTGTCGAACCGTCGGGGCTCGACCAGGTCCACTTCCTGTGGGGCCGCTTCTGGAAGAAAGAGTTCATCATAAAGAGTCCCTCTTTCTCCATAAAGTCGGCCAGCTGCTGGCCCCTTCGGTTCCGTTGCCCTACTCCAAATTTCCCTAACTTCAGCTCACCGCTTTCTCTTGTGCCTAGTTTTGCGTTGAAGTCTCCCATCAACACCGTGTAGTGGGTTTTGGAGGAATGCATGGCTTTGGAAATATCCTCATACATTTCCTCCACCTCCTCATCGGAATGTGCCGAGGTTGGTGCGTAAACCTGTATGACCTTCAGCGAATACCGTTTGGTGATTCTGAGTATCAGGTACGCGACTCTCGTCGACACACTCCCAATCTTTACAACGTTGTTGACGAGAGACTTGTGGACGATAAATCCGACACCTCTTTGGGACAGATGGTCGCCCTCCCGGTGATAGAACAAGTTGCCGGATTCGAGAATCACCGTGTCCTCCCCCTCTCTTCGGACCTCGGATAATCCTATAATACTCCAGCGCAACTTGTCTATCTCTTCTTCCAGCTCAAGGATCTTCTCGTCAGTCCTTAGTGTGCGTGGGTTAAATGTTGCCAGGTCGAGTCGTCGTAGGTGGCAACCGAACCTCCACCGGAGATTCTTAGCACCCCCTGCCCCGCCGTTTCCATGGTCGCCACCGTAGCCAAGAATAGTGGGGCCGCCGGGGGAATGGGGGCCGTCTATTTGTGTAATTGTTCATGGGGTGTATATTGCCATAGTTGCCACGCTTGGCGAGCGGGTTGGCAACCGCAGTTTTTTTTGTCGTACAGTTGCTGTTATCAGGAAGATGCTGCTGCCCATCTCCTTCCTGTTTCCCTCTGTCGCCTTTTACGACACTTACGGGAAGATATGGGGTAGTGGATATTCTTAACCGCCACTACACGGCCAACTGCTTACAGATATCCGACTCAAAAGTAGTCCAATCTATTGTTACAGGTAAAAACAAGAACTACAACCAACGAGGCTGGTGCAGAGCGCGCACCGCCTGTCAGTATGGCCGTATCGGCGCAACAACAATAGTTCGTCGATTATAATAAGGATTAATCATTAATTACGCTGTTTAATAATTTGATTGTGTTAAAAATAGTTCATAAGCCATTAGTTAATCACTGTTTGAATATTACAATGTAAATATCTGGTGATTCACATAATTCGGTACCTAACTTGAACCGGTGAACACGTGTCCGCCGCGCGATGATTCACACCGGTGAGCACGTGTCCGGCACGATGATTCACATAATTCAATACCTAACTGAAAGGACGTGTAGAGCTTCTTGAGTACGTCGTTACGCTGTCGGTCGAATAAACGAGGCTTTCAGTAACTTGTGTGTTTTCATAGAGCAAGCTGACGTCACACTTTTGAAAAACACAAAGGAACTTGTTACTTCGTTATATACTATCCTAATCTTCCTTAGAAGGAATTGCAGAAATTACAGTAGCGACAGTAAGTTTTTCGAAGTATGTCATTTTGAGGGTCTTTTTTAAGTTTCTTATGCATGTCATGCCGTCTACATATTTCGAATACATCTTAATAACCCAGGAGTCATCCAGGGTTTCAGAATCCTTCGTCGGCTGTGCAAGAGCTTGGGCTTCGAGTGTTGATATATCGCAACCAGAAGTTTACTAATAAACAGATTAGTTGCTAGGTTTGGATCAGTGAGCTGGAGTATATCAGAGAAGCTTACTTTTTTAAGGTGTCCATAAGGTTGGGGATGTCAATCTTTTTTGAGACTTTGGAAGATGAATGTGATATATTCTTTATATAGATGGCAAGTAAGATAGCGTCGTGGTCCGTAACTGAGGATTGGATCACAAGACATTGGGCCGGAAAGGTAGTTTTTAGAAAGACATGGTCGAGACAGGCCAGTTTACGAGTGGAAATAGTATGGGCTGGCAAAAGACCATTGTCGTCAAATGTCAAATACGCTTCAGTATTTTGATCAGGGGTTGAGTTTGGTATAATATTAATATTGATATCTCCTGCAATAATATTTTTAAATTTATTTAAAGAAGCTAAAGTCTGACAAAGAGAATTTATAAAGTTGAGGGGATTTCGAAATGCACATCGTCGATATATAGCTAAAATTACAGTTTCTTGCTGTATTTGGATGAGGAGCGAACTGGCGTCGACTATTTTTGGGTCAGAAATAGAAACATAAGTAATTGAGTTGTTGTAATTGGTTATTTCCCAGTTTTGCCTCTCATTGTACTACAAATGAATGAAGATTTTAAAAATTTAATTAAACAATCAAAGTGGACATGCTACTCATACCCATATTCCTGTATTATATATGAGACCAATATTGTCACTAAAAAAAATTTCAATAACTGTGAATTATTAAGTTTTCTATCCGACAATAACTACTATACTTTGTATACAGATGGTAGCAAAAGTGAGCTCTTTGTGCGCAGTGCTGTTTATGATCCCCAATCCAAGATTGGCCAAAGTTTTCTTCTGAACCCTAAATGCAGTATTTTCACTGCAGAGGTATATGCGGCCTTCGAGGCCCTGAAGAGGATCGCACATATAGTTTTAATATTTTTTTAATTCTAACAGACAGTTTAAGTATGGTCCAAAGTTTAACCAATCTCAGATTTGACTTTAAAAAAACTATATTTTGTATAATACTAAAAAATTATTATTTAGTTATGCACAAAAGGGCACACAGGTTTCTTTCATGTGGATTCCATCACATAGGGGCATAACAGGAAATGAGATAGTAGATAAAATTGCACGTGATGGAAGTGGCCAACATGTTGGATGTTAGCTCCATAGTAAAAGTACCTTTGACCGACTGTTATCAATCTATTGACAACCAGGTCAATAGCTTATGGGTCGAATTTTGGAAACAAGATCAAGAACAGAAGGGTAAATGGTATGGAAATGTTCAAGCAAATCTGCCAGTAACACCATGGTATAACAAACTGAAAATGGCCAGTCGGGACTTTATTACGACTATAAACAGACTGCGTTTTGGTCACTCCACCGTCCAGGCCCACCTGGCTCGTTTGGGCATAGTGGAGAGCAGCTACTGCACCTACTGCAATAATTCTGTTGGTGATATCGAACATTTCATATTTATATGCGAGTGCTTTTTATTTGACAGATTGATTCTTGTCAGTGAAATTAGTGACATAGTTCAAAATCAAGTGACAGTGCAAGATCCCTCCCGCCGCCTGAGTGATATGTTAAAAATTTTTAATTACGTGCCTCTATATAAATTTATCAAAAATACAAGGGGGAAATTATAATAAACCGAATTAAAATACTCAAGACTTGGCTTAAAGGTATAGATACCAGGCCATAAACTCCAAAAAAAAAACATGGAAATTGGCAACATTATGATTTGATGAATGGTCATGGCTGCGGCGTACTTGTTTTGTTGTACATAAGTGTTAATTTGTTATGAAAATATAATAAATTAATAATTTTTGCATCATGAGCACGTATACAAAGTTTGTATCAGATTACTGCAAAGCATGGGAAAAATCAGGAAAGGAACAATTGTAAGTGTTATTTAAACAAAGCTTTAGTGTTTTTCGTTTCGTCCCAAGTTCATCTTACCACATGTGATAGGAATTTCTATTAAAAGTAATGATGTTATTTAAACAGTCTGTGAAGTAAATAATCAGTTAATCACACAGCCCGTTACCTTTAATGTTTTTTAATTCTTTAATGATTTTTGTAAAATACAGCTTACTCTTAGCTTTTTGAAGAATTATATAGTTTAAATTTGTAATAACTATATTTCTTTTGAGATGTGCATTATTCGTGAAAAGAAAAATTATATCAGTTCAGGTAGTAAAATTTTTAATTGTTTATTTACCTTTCATATACGGGTTTATGCAGTAAATAATTGCTTTTGTGGTAGTGTTTTAGTATAAAATTTAGCAAATGAATTTTTAAACATTGTATGCAAATAATGTGAAGTTATGTACAATATGCTAATAAGCTGTATTATTATATTATAATTGGAATATTCAAAAAAGGTCTTTCACTGTAGACACTGTTGCAGGGTGCTGAAATATAGAATAATATATATAATTAGATAGCAAACTGATAAATTTGGAGATTGTGTAGCAATACCTGCCCACCAAATATAAGGGTCACAATCGGGAACAGTTTGCACTGACTTTATGCTTCTTTCGATGCACCAAATGGCAATGTTCGGCAGTATATCCAGCTATCTGGCGATAAGACTGGCCGGATATCCGGTTTCCGGCCAAACAGCCATTTGTTTCATCTCTAGTATGTATGGAATGCACCCAATCCGGCTAAACACCCTGGGGAAAGTAGACTACTACCCTTCAATTAAACTCACAAACTCATATGCTTTAAAAAAATGTTGCCAAAATAATAGTAATATAGTATATATCCTCCTGAGACCCCTGGTATCACTCATGATACCGAGATTCAATATTTTTTTTCCGCGCCATCTAGCAGTTTTGCTGTGAACTATTTACGTAGCAAGTTACGTAGTATGACTGTTTGTCGTCATAATGTGGTTTCGGTTAATTCAAAGGAGTTTGACAGTTATTTGTATTCACTTGCGTGAAATATTTTTTGCGAGTAACGACATGTCGGCGAATAAAAAGGGTAAATATTGGTTTTATTTACATTTGTATTACTTTTTTATATGTATTATATAGAGAAATCACTAAATTTTCATTTGACATTGAGAAAATTGTAAAAGTGTTTTGCAAACGTACTTATTTTAGCCGATTTTTTTCGGTATCATTGATGATACTTTGGGCGCTCAACGCATTTTTTAATAATTTTTCCAGGTTTGGAAGATAATCAAATATCAGAGTTTCTGGTGAATCTAGATGTCTCCGATTGCGAAGACTTTGACGAAGACGATGATGACGTGGATGAATTCTCTCAGGATCATCAGATCTTCGAAGAAATGATATCTCGAAATCCTGAAAGTGAGTGGGAGGAATCGGATGAAGAGCCTCTGTTCAACGTTGTTAGTCGTGATCATCAGAGGCGAGCCATTAACCGACCAATGACGTGGAATCGTTCAGATAGCTTCAATAATATCTTTGATGCAGATCCACCATTGGAAAGTCAGCCCACGGAAAATTCACCCTCACTTTTAAGTTCTTATGAATACTTTTCGAAATATATTCGCCCCGGCTTTTTTGACATAGTGTCGACCTGTATGAATACATCCAGTGTAGAACGAACTGGCAAGTCTCTGAATACTACGTCTGAAGAAATACGATCTTTCATCGGCTGCTCTATGGCAATAGGAATACTTGGTCTTCCTCGGATTCGAATGTTTTGGGCCGCAGAAACACGAGTGAAACTTATAGCAGAGACGATCACTCGTAATAGATACTTCAGCATCAGAGCAAACCTGAAAGTTGTGGAAGATCACAAAGTGTCTCCAGCAATGAGAGATGTGGATCGGTTCTGGAAAATTCGCACTATAGTGTCTGAAATTGAGAGAGCCTGTAGAGAAAACGAAAGAGAGAAATGTGTATCTATTGACGAACAAATGATACCTTTTACCGGAAAATGTAAGATGAAGCAGGTCGTTAAAGGGAAACCAACTCCCGAAGGGATTAAAGTATTTTTGATGACTAATCCAAATGGTCTGCCTTTGGATTTATACTTATACCAAGGTCTAGGGACTTCGGTTGAATCAGCCATACATCCAATGCCAGAGAAACTTGACTTAGGAGGACGCGTTATATTAAAACTGATCGACACTTTACCACAAAAAACATCAATCTATATTGATCGTTATTTCACATCCATTACTCTGTTGGAAAACTTAACAGAAAGAAACATCAATTGTACTGGCACTCTCATGAAAAATCGCGTGCCAGGATATGTTCATCCTAAACAACAGCAGAAGAAAAAGGCTTTAATGAAAACCGACAGGACTTTACAAAAGAATGGTAGAGGAAGTTATGATTGTGTGGTGAGGCAAGACGAAAAGATAGCGGTAGTCAAGTGGATCGATAGCAAGCCAATTTATGTAGCATCGACAGAAATTGCCGTTGAACCTCTTGGGACGTGCCGCCGCTGGAGCAAGAAAGATCGCAAATATCTTGATATTCCACAACCGGCGGCAATAAAAAAATATAATTCATATATGGGAGGCATTGATCTATTAGATCGGATTGTTGGAAAGTATGCAATGCGCGGAAGAACCGGAAAATGGACGGTACGAGCAATCTTTCACTTTTTTGATTTCGCGTCTGCAGCAGCTTGGATAGAATATCGTCAAGATGCTGTGAAGCGTGGTCTTCCCCGGAAGCAAATAATGCAGTACCTAGATTTTAAAATGGACTTGGCTAAACATTTGATATATGGCGATACCATGCAATCTCAATCGCAGTGTTCCAGTCTTAGTTTAGACCGTTTATCTCGCAACAGCCCACGTATAAGTCCCAGAGTGACAAGCCTTCGACCAATGGAAGAAGAACAAGTACTACCGAATCGGAAAAGACCCCATAGACTTGTGGAATCAATACCCCATACGTCACAAAGGGTAAAGGAAACAAAGCACTTGCCTGTATGTGCCAAAGGCAATCAAACCAATAGATCAAAATGTAGAATGAAGGGATGCAGTCAGCTAACTTTCGTGAAATGTTCCACCTGTGACATATTTTTATGTTTTAACGTCAATAGAAACTGTTTTTCTAATTTTCACTTGCAATAAATTAAGAATTAAAGTATGTGAAATAAAAAGTAGAAACTACACATTTGAGTTTGATTAGAACCCAAAGTATCATCTGTGATACCCCCTTTTTTTGCCTTCTGGGGAGGAGGGGATTTTTATTTTTATTTTTGCTGAAGTTCTTAGGTTCAAACTACTTCTTATGCCAAAAATCACGAGAATACGGCATTATTTTATACCTTGGGTCTCAGGAGGATATAGCAACATAATACACTCACCTTATGAACTAATGAAAGTTTGTCAGAACTGATATCAGCAATAGATAAAAGTGGTAAATAATAGGAATGAGTGAAGTAAGACACCAAGGTATAGAAGATATGGAGATGGATATGGATTTTATATTATAAAGGGTAAACACAGGCAAATATGGAGTAGGCTTTTTGATTAAAAAAGAGTTAAACAAATTAATTGTTGAATTTATCTGCATATCCTAATGTAGTGCAATACTAAACATAAAACTACCACCCAAAAATGTAATGTACAAATTTACTCCCCAATAGAAAAGTCCAGTAAGTTGGAAATAGACTCATTCTTCTCCTTACTAACAGAACCAATAAAAGAACATGTGCACTATAACTATATTGAAAATGGGCCGAATGAGGAGTACCCTTAACTAACGAGCATGTATGTGTAGGTGTATGTATGTGGAGGAAGCGAGAGAGGTGTATTATGATTATGCCAAATGGAAGTCTGTAGTCTCTGCCTACCCCTCTAGGTAACAGGTATGAGTTTTTATGTATATGTATGTATTACACTATAAATTGATAGTGATGGGAGATTTCAATGCCAGAATGAGATATAAAAGAGAAGGTGAAGAATTAGTACTAGGCCAATACAGTTCAGGAAAGAGAACAAGAAATGGAGAAAAATTAATTCAATTCACATATAAGACCAACCTTAAAATACAAAACAGCCAATACAAAAATCGAAAAAATAATAGGTGGACATAAATATCTCCAGATAGTCACCATAAAAACGAGGTTGATTATGTTTTAATTAACAGAAGTAAAGCTTTCCAAAATTGTGGAGTTATATAAGCAATCTTAACTTTCAGTAATCACAATGGTCACAACCAAACTTTAATTTATCATATCTAAGATAAATACATGTTACAAAGTAAAGTCACCAACAATAAGTACTTCAGTAAGCTCCGAAGAGTTGAAAGAAAAATTTTAAGGCTTCATATTAAGCATAAAATTATTGAATACACAAGACAAATGTAACAGATTACAAGAACTTCTATGTATGAAGATAATGAGTAAATGAAGGCATGAACAATATGAAATAATATGACTGTCAAACAAATCAAGGGAACTGTTTAAAACTAGAGCTGATCTAATAACTACCACTAATAAGACAAAAAGCATAAGAAGAGATATAGCTAAAATTAATAAAGAAATCAAGGTAAAATTGAGAAAAGACCGACAAAAGTACAGGTTAGAAACACTGGAAAAGTGCATACAGAAAACAGGAGACATTAAGAAAGCAGCTAAACTATTGACACAAAAAAGTGATTGGATACCCCATATTAAGGATAGAATAGACAAATGTGCAACTCCAAGGCCAAAAATTATTTCAATAGCTACTAACTTTCAAAACTTTGATACAAAACAAATTATTATACACAAGTGACTTGAAAATTATGGATGAAGTTGCAAAAATAATGAATGGAGAAGTAGATAAAGCTATAAACACACAGAAAAATTTCTTATTAATAATAAAGACCTCATTGTACCCATACTTACACACATATTTAACAATGTTTTGTATAGCCAGGTAATACCAAATCAGTGGACAATATTAACTATAATATTATTACATGAGAAGGGTGATAAAAATAATATCAATAATTACGTATCTATCAGCCTAGTGTTAAATATCTACAAAATCTTTGCTAAAGTTATCTTAAATTGAATTACCAAAATACTTGATGAAAATTAACCAAGGGAGCAAACAGGATTTAGAAGTGGATATTCAACATTAGATAATATTCATGTTGTTAAGCAACTGTTTAGGAAAAGCAGGGAATACAATATTGCTTTCTACTGCTGCTTTGTTGATTAATGTAAGGTCTTTGACTCGCTCGAACATGAAATGATTTGGTAAGCACTCACCCAAGGTGTTGAACATAAATACATCAGAATACTGAGAAATATCTATAAAAATAGTAAAGCCAAAATCAAATTAGAGAAAGAAGGAAAAAAATAAATGCAGGAATAGAGATGTGTCAGGGCTATACTCTGTCCCCTAAACTTTTCACGGCAGTACTGGAGCACATATTTTGCCAATTAGAATGGGAAGAAAGTGGACTACAAATTAATTGAGAGAATCTGTCATACATAAGATTCGTGGATAATTTGATAATCTTCTCACCATCAAGGGACGGTCTTCAGGCAATGCTCAATGAATTAGATAGAGAGTCGCAAGGTGGGATTGGAAATGAACAGCCAGAAAACTAGTCATGGCAAATGGGAAACAGGAACCAATATGTGTCAACAACAATAATATTGATTATTTGAATAAATGAAAATAAAAAAACAAAGATACTAGTATGAACATCAAACGCAAACTTTTTGTCCAGTAGTTTTGTCTATTTTGCCAGTCCTGGGCCTACACCAAAACTCATATAGAAAACTAAAGATTGGTCATAACGCCATGGAGAGAAGTATGATGGGAAAAAGATTATCCGAAAGAGTAAATTCAAAATTCAAATCGCTTATTGCGAATATAGGTTGATACAGATGGTATTGCCATAGTTTATCACTTGGAGTACAAACATTTAGTACAGTTATATTCCGCCATTTGGCATGCAATATTCATCACATTTTATTAATTTTATATTAAATTATTTAAACATGCTTTAGTTATAATTGGAGTTTTAATTGAAGTTATAATCAATATTTATAGCGATAAATCAATTTAGATAATATTTTATAGGTCAAGTCAATTTAGTTATACTGAGTCATGTATTAGTCAATTATTGAATTTCATATTTATCTTCGAGATATTCTTTCACACTGTAGTATGCCTTATTAACAAGAAATTGCTTCAATAGTATTTTAAAATTATCTATGTTGAAACATCTCAAAATGTGTAAAAGCCACAACTATAAAGGAAGAAACATACAAGAACAAAAGATGTGACAGTCACAATAAAGAAGCTTAAATGGAGATGGACAGGACATACAGTTAGGGGAACAGACAAATGGAGTAAAATAATAATGTATCCATAAACAAGATTAAAGAAAAGGAAAAGAGGTAGACCATTTAGATAGTAAATGAGTGTTTGTTAAAGGAGCCATGTAATAGCACTGATTTGACATCTGACAACTGCTTATTTCTGGCAGGGCCTCTCTAGCTTGCCTACAGTCCACTAGATTTTTCCAAAGCTGAGTGTGTTGATTAGTACAGTTTTTATGTACCAGTGAACAAACATTACGAAAAGTCTTTTACCTTCCTTGAATCAATTGCTATGGCATCTTCAATGCCATGATTGTCCATGGGTTGCAAAATATTTATTGCAAATAGGTTTTAGGACAAATTAGTTTTTTCATAGGTAAACTAGTTTTTTGTAAGCCAACATAGCTAGATCACAGACATCAATAGGATTAAGTCTATTGACAAAAGTAATATTGGCTATGGTAGGTTGAGGTGTGGCTGGGATGGTCCTTAAACCACCCCAAAAAATGAACATCTGGTTCACCCTATTGGGCTTAGAAAAAACTAGTTTACCCTAAGAAAAAGAAATTTGCTCAAAAATCGGACTAGTAATTAAGTATTTCACTGCAAATTGGCACAAAACCTCTTTTGAGCAGAATTTCAATAAAAAAAATGTATCAAAATGCTTCAAATTGGCACAATTTTATAACATTTTCAAAAATTTGTAAAATAAGCTATACATTCTACACAGATAGGTATATAAATTTTATCTTTCTGCACAAGGAGTGCATTTATGCCAAATCTCATACGCCTCTGTGCATGCAATTCTACGTGTTTAAAATGGGGTTCATAGTTTTCCTTTCTTGTAACTGTATATAGATACATTAACATCACTTCAGACCATTTACATTGTAAGACAGATCTATACCTGTGTAAATGTTGTGTACCAACATGTTATATTTGTGAGATGAAAGTGAAAGCAAGCGCATGCATTTGTGTGTGTGTCTGTTAGTATGCGTATGTGTATCGCTTGGTGAAATGTGAAAGCATGTGTTTGTTTATGAGGTAATGATATGGCATTTCTCAACTTCATCATGTTATCAAGTTCATTAGTAATGCCATTTGGCAAAACCTCTAAGATAGATTTTTGAATTTGGCCTTTGATGTGCAAAGATGATCGATCGATGAAGATGTCAATCCATGCTAGATAAATATTTTCTTGTTTGATTTTAATAATCTCTTTGCATAGTTGTGTAAGTTGGTGGTACATAAAGTAGTTCCATTTTGTTTTAGACAAAAATGGTGTATGAATCCACAACAAAAGTTATTAAAAAAATTCATAAAACTTCATTTATTTTTATGACAAGTAAATTTAAAACAGCTTACTGATGCATTTTAAATTTGTGGGGTGAAAATACCATAAGCGTTCGTAGGGTAAAACTGAAATTATTGTATGCAATGAATGTTGCATTGTGTGTACAGTAGAGCCTCGAAAATCCGAACCCACGATAATCCAAACGCCTCTATAATCCGAACGACCACCTGCTCTTTGTCTCACAGAATATGGCAGTGCCTATCGGAAGAATATCTGCAGTCAATTGACGAAAATTTCACTGTTCTGGACATGCTGCCTAGCTGTACAGCCTTAAGTCAAAGAATGGCTCAAAAAGTACAAGTTTTTGGCCAGCAAGGAGTAGATTCAGAATGCACATTATCAGAAATTGTTAACACCATGAAAGTTGTAATGAAGCTGTATTTTCTCTGGCTTAAAGTTGGCACCAAGTATCCTCAAATCTGATCAAAAAATTAAGGAAGCATCTTTGGCTTTCGTTATTTAAACCAGAGGTAACTTCTGGCCACAATCTGGGTGACTTTGACCCTGAAGATGATATAATATCTACATACTATAATCCGAATGCCTCATTAATCCGAACAGGGTGTAAATTTTGAAAAAATCGACACTAAGAGTACATATATACATAACACATGTCACACAGAGGGTTAGGCAAAGACTGGACTTCCATTTGGCATAATCCTGACACACCTCTCTTGCCTCCTTTACATCCATATAGTACCTACACATACACGCTCATACTCTTTATCTGTTAAGGGTACATTCATTCTCGCCTGGAGAGTATAAAGTTGACCATAAAAGGGAAATACATGTAAATAATTTCCTTTTTACAATTTATAACACATGATATTTATGTTTTAAATAAAAGTTGAAAGTTTAATTCGATTTTATTAATTAGCATAAAATAATAACTATGATTCGTTATTTTGATGCAAATACTTCAATGAATTACTTTTATTTAAAATTTAAATTAAAAAATTGTGTTTTATTACTGAAGAACAACTTCCAATGCACATACATAGAACATGTCCGATAATAAAAGCCTAAATTTTCATATATATAATTTTATTTTTTTCTTTCCAGTATAAAAACAGTGACACAGTTTATTAAAGATGAAGGAAAAAGTCCCTTGTTTAGTAAATCAGGAAAATTGTCAGGATTGTCTCAAAATATATATGACTTGTTGCTTTGTGGGCTTCATGGTAACTTGAAAAAAGATGCAGTCATTTCTGTACTTCATGATATATCTGTAAGTCAAAAGTGTTATTAATATTTTGTAAGACCTTAATGAAAATATTATACTTTTAAATTGTTTTCAGGCATTACATGCTGATATACCATCAATTATTTTAGATGTTACTAGCATACTTGATGCAGAAACATGTGTGGAAGTGCAGAGTGAGGAAAGAACAAATTTTTGCTACATAGTTAGGGAATTGGAATCCTTTATATCTGACAAACTTCTTAAGGAGCGTTTAGAAATTGATACATTACAAGATGTTGGCACATTAAAAAACAAAAATTTTTATACAAAGTTTATAAAAATCAAGACGAAACTTTAGTAAGTATATTGAGAAGTAATAATACTTTTTTTTTTACTTTAGGGTTATAACAATGAATTTTATTTTTAGTTACAAACAGCGTAAATTCAATTTATTTAGAGAAGAAAGTGAAGGATATGCTAAATTAATTGTTGAATTAAATCAAGAAATATCAGAAGATACTGAATGGAAAATACTGTTAGAAATTATTCAGTCTCTTATAGGTATGTGGTTGAGAATATAATATTTTTATTTTTGTTTTACTTTGGATATTCTCTATTTAAATTCTAAGTAGTATTATAGTATAATTGCTTATTTTGTTCTTGTATTGTCTTATTTCAAATTTTCAGGATGTTTTAACTTGGATCCAAATAGGGTTTTAGACATAATACTGGAATCATTTGAGGCTCGACCACACCTAGATCAATTATTCATATCCCTTATAAAAAATTATATGGGGGATCCTCAAGTTATATCAGAAGTTTTAGGTTTCAAACTGGGAAATATGGAAGTGTTAGAAAGTTATAAAGATCCACCACCTTTGATGACTGTTATAGCTTTACTATTGCAACACCAAGTAATTTCATTAGATGACATCTATCCCTGGGTATGTTAAACATTATTGTATTATAATTTTAACAATAGTCTGAATTAAATTTAAACACAACTAACTAAAATCATTTTCCTAGCTACGTCCAGATGATACCATAATGGCCAAGGAAGCTGAAAAAGAAGTGAAGTCAGTACAAGACTATATTCGTAAGCTCAACATTGTATCAACCAAGGGTCCACAAGCCAATGGGTCTACGGAGTTTCTTGAAGAGAAAACTGATCCCCAAGTAAATGTTATTATATATTAAAAACATTCTTCAATTTTAACTTACCTATCGTAATCATATTTGTACTTAAGTATATTAGGCAGTTATATCTCTACCCATACATGCATTGAGTTAATTAAGAGAAATTTGTAAGAAATGGTTAGTCGGAATTTGTAAGAAATTTAAGAACAAAAGTATTATTTATTTATAATTTTTGTAAATTTTATAAAATACTTTTTATTACTTTTAAATTATTTCTATAGTATAGTTTAAAATAACAAAACAATACTTTTTTTTCTAAAACAGGAATACTGGAGTAATCAAAAGTTAGTTTTGTGTGAGGCATTGTTAAAAGTGACTGCATGGCGTGAGTTCGCGGCGTTGACTGCGCGATTGCCGACCACGTGCCTGGCTGCACGACCAGCTACAGCCTTGTGCACCATGTTGCACGCTCTCGTCGAGCCGCTTTATAGGACGTGAGTAGATTTTGCTTTTAACAGCTATTTCAACTTAAAACCTTAGTTTATCTCATTATCTCTAATATGAATTGACCGTGTAAATACTTTTAGAAGTGAGCCATTTAATGTTGTGTATTTTCACTTAACTAGAAATATGTGGGTGGTGTCATTCTCGTAATTTAACTACCTGTTGTTCGCAGTATGCCAATAAATCCTTACGACTAACGCACTAACGCATCCATCTAGTAAAAACTTTTGTATTGCATGCACATAATTTTAATAGTTGTATGGCCATTTAATAATTAGAGTTGCTCAGTCAATGGTTGGTTGCATTTGAGTGCAATTATAGCTTAAACCGAAAGGCATTATGGTCGGACTTTTTGGTTTCAGTCTTAAAGAAATTTGATTTTATCTATTTTGTTCACTACCTATTATATCACTAAACAAATTACACTAGAGGGTTATCCCCCAACAATGTGTTCTAGAATGTTTCTTTACCTGTTTACTTGCTAAGCCAATATGATGGCTCTAACAATTTACATAATATTGTGTATTAGGATAAGGTTTTACCCTCCAAATTTATCTAAATGGGTGTCGTCCTTGAGAAATACAAATTTTTATTCTAATACAGAGCAAAGCTGGGTTGTTCAGGTATATCACATAAACTATTATCAACAATGCAATTTTACTTAATTTGATGAAGAAGAATGTCATAACATCATGTTACCTATTATGCTTAATTATTTTAGTTAGTGGTTATGAAGTAAACATTTTTAATTTTTTACAGGCATTGCCGCGTTGCCCCAAAAATCATTGGTAAGCCAGTACCACCTTTAAAATCACACTTGGCACCCCCTGCTTGTAAAACATTTGAAGATATGAAAGAGACTGTCATTCCAGCTCTAATTATATTAGGGCCTTCTTTACATTATGACCCTATTTTAATGTACAAAGTATGTATATTGTCATATGTAATTGATGAATATTGTGTTTAATGTCTTTATTTTACTGAAGATAGTTTATAATTTTGTTAAAGATAATTCGTATATTAAGGACGGCGCGATCATTGCAAGAAGATCCTTTACATCATGAAGCTCTTACAGTGCTTGATGCAGCAATATTGCCAGCACTTACTCTTATGGAAGGAAATTGTTGTATGGCCGAAGAAGTGTACACATTGCTGAAGTTATACCCTTATCAGTGCAGGTAAAATGAGTTAATTTCATGTAACCAGGTGTGTTTGTTTTTTTTTTTTTTGCTTTGTTGTGTTCCGTAGTAATAAGACATTATTATTATTATTTTTAGCTTGCACTCGTGACTTTAAAAAAAGGAGGAGGTTCTCAATTTGACTGTATTTTTTTTATTGTGTGGTTAGTACCTCGGAACTTTCTTTAGGTAAACCGATTTTGATAATTCTTTAATTATCTGAAAGCTAGTGCTTCTCATGTGCTCCCATATGAATTTGATCAAGATCTTAATATTATATTTGTGTTGTATTTAATGACTTCGACTACTACATTGATGGTGTTTTCATTATGTTTACAAAGTGTACAAAGTTTTTAATTTAACCACTTACTTATATTTGTCATGCAGGAGATTGAGAAAACGTAATGTCGCTTCGCAAAATCATATAAAATAAACTCTCACACCTGTCACCCAGAGGCAAAGACTATGGACTTCCGGAAACCTGACGCACCTCTCTTGTTTCTTTGATATCCATATGCTCATTGGTTAAGGATATTATTAACTTGGTCCATATTCAATATGTCGTTAATTTCGTTAACTTCTATCTAGACCATCTCTTGCTGGCTTTTATTGAAATATTAAAGTGTATAATAAAAATATAAAGTTGCTTTCTTATTGAAATTTGATACTATTGCGAATTTCAAACATTCTGAATGAGCCATAGTTGCGAATGTGATTATTAAATCATTCTTTGTATTGAATTTCAAACTTTAAGCAAATAACTTTAAGTTAAAATTACTATGAATACATTCTTGATGTCATGGTAGCTCGGGGGCTAAGCGCTCGCCGTAGCACTGAACTTGTTAATTGCAGTTTTAAGTTCTGATTACCACATACTCTTGTGGGCGTGGAAGGAAAAGGGGAGATCTCCCGCCGGGCAAGGAGTTCTGCCCGGGGAGCGGCCAACACTCCGTGTGATAGTTCGGAGGTGTCCTATATATACTGTTTATGTTTCGGAATTTTGATAGCGTGATTTAGGCTTCGTTATGTTTCGCTTGCGGCGCGACGATAACGCCGCCACATCACCCCCTGCTCAGACCGGAGGTCGATAGTGCAGTCTCGTTGCCGACGAATGTGCAAGTGCCAGGAGATTGCCTTGTAGTCTGTGGTGGGTCGAGAAGAAGGCAAGTAATCTGCGAGAGTGCCGTGAAGCAGAGGCTAGCAGTAAGGCTCAGAGTTGTGGCGAACACTGTATGGCGCAGAGAGTAGCTTGAAGGAACAGGAATCATTATTATTCCAGTGCTGCGATGAACCTTGTGAAGCTAGATGGCTTGCAGGATATGAAGACTGCAGATGATATATGCTCGGGAGCGAATGGGTGGGGTATTCTATGACGATGATGAAGTTTGAAGTTTCCGAAGGTTGTTTGGTTGCGTGTTCAGATCACGTCGGGGTCTCCACTGTGGCCGTGGAAGGAAAAGGGGAGATCTCCCGCCGGGCAAGGTGTTAAACCCGGGGAGCGGCCAACACTCCTGTTATAGATACGTTGTTCTTTATAGCGTGATTTAGGCTTCGTTATGTTTCGCTTGCGACGACAGCGCCACCACACTCTGCTGTGAATTTGTGAATTTTTCTACATATGGTAGAGCCACGCTGCGGCTATATTATGGTTGTAGCACGAATGGGTCGGCTCGACCGGGGAAGTACCACGCTCTCACAGAATACTAGCGTAAATAACAGCTTAATACTGCTGTGTTTCGTATGGTGCGTGTAGAGATCCGGAGACCCTTTTTTACTGGAAACGAGGCATTCCAGTTTAGTCCTCAGGGGTGACAACGCATTTGCGTTTTGATTCCTAATCGAGGATAAATGTAAATGTTTATGGATCACAGCATCCACTTGCCATCGGATGGAATGTGTGCTCGTTTCTCACCACTATTCTATAAAAAAAAAACGTTAAAAAGTGAAGATAGCGTGAGGTAACCTGCATGTTTGTGAAATAAATATATTATATTTCGAAGACGTGTAAACGGAGGGCTACGTGATCCATAACCTTCTCACAAATGACAATCGACCTGTGCCCACCTCTAATGGCTGTAACTTTAATGTACCTTACTTTTACGTTCTTTTATTAGGCAATGTTAAGAAGATTATTCTTAAGTATGATGAGTCTACTTTTTATTGAATAACATAAAAATCTATGCAATGAATTAAGACTGTTGTTGTTTTGGTTCATTTAAAGATACTGCTTATATTCGCGCTGGAAAAATGAGTCTGGTGAAAGGATACCAGCGCTAATGCGGGTACGCGGCAATTCCCTACAAAGGATTAAACATATTATGAAGCGTGTTTCAAAAGAAAATATAAAACCGCAAGGACGCTTAATTGGGAAACTGTCTCATGCTGCACCTGCCTTCTTATTTGATTATATGCTATTACAGGTAACTATAAACTTGTAAAATTTTTATTGTACTGGGACTTCATTATCTATCACATATAAACTAATAGCTGTTTGTGCGTGTGGTGTGCTTAACAGCATGCTATACAATGCTTCAATCGATACACATATAAATTAAAAAGAAATATTTGTCTGTAATACAGTACGGTATGACTGAATCAATTGGAATGAAACTTCACTAACAGATGGAGAGCAATGTCTGGATAGATCTAAGCTATGTTTGTCTTAGATGATTATCTTAAATATTAATATAATACCACATTAATAGATTCCACCCCGGTGAAGCCGGTAATGTAAAAGTGTTTTTATTGTCAATGTGTTACGTCACTGATATGCTTATCAAATTGAAATCTTTGATCTAAATCTTTACAGATTTCCGGTAAAAGATCATCATCATCATCACAGCCCTTCACAAGTCCACTGCTGAACATAGGTCTCCCCCAAGGTATGCCACTAAGCACGATCCTGAGCCACCTGCATCCATCGACTTCCTGCATGTCTTACCAGGTCGTCAATCCATCTAGTGGGGGGTCGCCCTACACTTCGCCTACCGGTACGAGGCTGACTGGAGTTTTTCGGTTTCGGTTGTCATGGTTGGGATATCCTCATTTCTAAGTTATAAGAAAACCTATTTGGCGGTCTGGCAAGGTTTAACTGTTTCAGGTTTTGAGGTATACCTGACGAGAAGATGCGTCGTAATTTCCCGAACGCTGCCCAGCCGAGTTGAATCCGTCGATTGGCCTCTCGGTCGAAGTTGGACTTACCTAGTCGGACTATTTGTCCCAGGTAAACGTACTCGTCAACAACTTCGAGCTTAGTGCTCCCAACAACTACCGGCATAGGTGTGACATGGACATTAAACATCATCTTTTATTTTGTCCATGTTCATCTAAAGATCTATCCGTTGAGAGGCACTATTGATGAGCATATAGTGTTTAAGTCCTCCAGCGATTCTGCCATAAGGACTATATCGTCGGCAAATCGAAGGTGAGTGATGTACTCGCCATTGATGTTAATACAGTATCCTTTCCAGTCCAGTAGCTTAAAAACGTCTTCCAATGCAGCGGTGAAGAGTTTCGGGGAAATAATGTCGAAACGTTAAAAAAATAACGGTAAAAGATATTTGCATAAAATTTATATGGCACTTTTTATCCCCTTGACAGATGCTCCTTATTATCTCGTCTCTCTCTCTCTCTCTCTCTCTCTCTCTCTCTCTCTCTCTCTCTCTCTCTCTCTCTCATGTCTCATCCCTAAAAAAGGCGACCGCTCAGACCCGTCCAACTACCGGCCTATCGCCATCACCTGCCTTCTCCAAAACAATGGAGTCTATTGTTAACTGCCAGCTCATGAGGTACCTTGAGGATCACCAGCTGATTAATGACCGCCAATACGGTTTTCGCCGTGGTCGGTCAGCTGGTGATCTTCTGGTCTACCTAACTCACAGATGGGCGGAGGCTAGACAGACATTGGCCTTTAGTTTGGACATTGCGAAGGCCTTCGATCGGGTTTGGCACAAAGCGCTTCCTTCGAAGCTCCCTTCCTTCCTATGGGCTTTCCGAGAAATTGTGCGATTGGATCACCAGCTTTCTTGCAGATCGGAGCATCAGGGTCGTTGTAGACGGTGCAAGCTCCGATTTCAAGCCTATTAATGCTGGTGTTCCACAAGGCTGCGTGCTATCGCCAACGCCGTTTCTTCTGTATATCAATGATATGTTGCAAACCCGTAACAGTCATTGCTATGCAGATGACAGCACTGGTGATGCTCTGTACACCGGCCGTGCCAATATTTCTCGGGAAAACTTCTCCGAGTACCGGGACAAACTTGTGTCTGAAGTCGAGTCTCTGCTGAACAGTCTCGGATTGGGGGCGACTAAATCTAGTCCAGTTTAACCCCCAGAAGACACAATTTTGCGCGTTAACCGCTAAAAAGAACCCCTTTGTCGTATCTCCTCAGTTTCAGGGCACCCCCCTTGTTGCCTCAGCCAGTATCGGAATCCTCGGCGTTGACATATCGAGTGACGTGCAGTTTCGTGGTCACTTGGAAGAGAAGGCCAAATTGGCCTCTAAAAAGCTTGGCGTGCTCAGCAGAGCGGGACAGTATTTCATGCCGGCACACCGCCTGCGACTTTACAAGGCGCAGGTTCGGCCGCACATGGAATACTGTTCCCATCTTTGGGTTGGGGCTCCCCAGTACCAGCTCCTTCCACTTGACCGCAGCCAGCGCAGAGCGCCTCGAATCGTCGACGACCGAGTGCTTTCCGATCGGCTCGATTCACTGGCGCTGCGAAGAGATGTTGCATCTCTTTGGATTTTCTTTCGCATATACCATGGGGAGTGCTCTGAGGAATTGTTCAGATTAATCTCAGCCGCCAAATTTCGTGAACGCACTACGCGGCACACGTCCCGATACCATCCACACCATCTGGATGCACTGTACGTTTCAGAAGGAGTTTTCTTCCGCGTGCGACCTCTCTGTGTTTACCACCGGCGATTTTTCCAGACCGATACGACCTGAGTACCTTCAAGAAAAGAGCTTACTCCTTTCTAAAGGGCCGGCAACGCACCTGCAATTCCCCTGGTGTTGCGGTTGATCATGGGCGGCTGTAGTCACTTAACATCAGGTGAGCCGCATGCTCGTTTGCCCCCTCTTCTAAATAAAAAAATGTAAATAAAATCGAAGAAATCTTATTTATAAAGAAAATAACCACAATTTATACAAATATGTAATATGACCGTCATGTATATAATATGACTTTATGGAGAAAGAGGGACTCTTTATGATGAACTCTTTCTTCCAGAAGCGGCCCCACAGGAAGTGGACCTGGTCGAGCCCCGACGGTTCGACAAAAAATGAGAATGACTTCATTATGACGACCAGACGCCAACTGTTCAGTGATGTCTCAGTGATCGTAAGGGTGAAAACCGGCAGCGATTGATGGTTAGAGGCACACTGAACCTAAACGTTAAGTTGGAGAGGGTCTCGTCTAATGAAGTCAACGCTCCGTCCCCCCTCGTGCTCTAATCCAGAATCCCGAGACTTTTCAGCTCAAGTTACGTAACCGCTTTCAGTGCCTAGAAGATTGCAATGCAGTGGACGATATGAATGACAAGCTCGCGGAAACTGTCCATGCGGTCGGAGCTAAGTTCTGCAAGACCCGCCGCAGAAGAACACAAAAACTCTCCGATCACACTCTTAATCTCATGGCTGTTAGACGGGAGATGAGGCTGCAATCGTCAACAGATTTGACAGCATACAGGCAACTGAACAGACAGATCTCCAAATGCATGCGGCGAGACTTACGCATCTTTCATACTGCTCGTATTAAAGAAGCGATCGAGCGGAACCAGGGCTCCAAAGTCTTTGCCAGAGATCTGTCTGCCAGAAAGAGCCAATTGTCAAAGCTGAAGACTGAGTGTGGCAGCATCGTTTCCGGGACACCTGAGATTTTGAGTGAGATTGAGAGGTTCTATGGGCAGCTGTACACATCATCGTTGGAGCCACACGCAAGTGTGAGTAACGATCCAAGAGCAAGTCTTACACGACACTATTCCGATGATATCCCGGACTTCAGTCTGAGCGAGATTAGAATGGCTCTCCAGCACCTTAAAAACGGCAGGGCCCCAGGCGAGGATGGAATTACAGCGGAGCTTCTGAAAGCGGGTGGAACACCGGTACTTGAAGTCCTTCAGAAGCTCTTCAATTCAGTCCTCCATGGTGGCACTACTCCGGAGGCGTGGAGCAGAAGTGCGGTGGTCTTGTCCTTTAAGAAAGGCGACAGCGCTCTTTTGAAGAACTACAGACCGATTTACTTTCGGAGCCGCGTCTACGTGCTGTTTTCGAGAGTCATTACGAATCGTCTCGCACGCAGACTCGACGACTTCCAGCCTCCCGAACAAGCCGGTTTCCGAAAAGGCTTCAGTACCATAGACCACGTACATACCCTGCGGCAGATTGTACAGAAGACCGAAGAGTACAATCTGCCACTTTGCCTGGCGTATGTGGACTATGAGAAAGCCTTTGATTCCGTCGAAATTTGGGCGGTGCTACAGTCCCTTCAGCGGTGCCAAGTTGACTGTCGGTATATCGAAGTGCTGAAGTGTTCGTACAGTAGGGCTACGATGGCTATCCGAGTACAGAACCAGAGTTCGAAACCTATCCAACTGTAGAGAGGTGTAAGACAGGGTGACGTTATATCCCCGAAACTCTTCACCGCTGCGTTGGAAGACGTTTTCAAGCTACTGGACTGGAAAGGATACGGTATTAACATCAATGGCGAGTAAATCACTGACCTTCGATTTGCCGACGATATAGTCCTTATGGCAGAATCGCTGGAGGACCTTAGCACTATGCTCAATGACCTCAATGGTGTCTCTCAACGGATAGGTCTTAAGATGAACATGGACAAAAAAAAGATCATGTTCAATGTCCATGTCACACCTATGCCGGTAGTTGTTGGGATCACTATGCTCGAAGTTGTTGACGAGTACGTTTACCTGGGACAAATAGTCCGAATAGGTAAGTCCAACTTCGACCGAGAGGTCAATCGACGAATTCAACTCGGCTGGGCAGCGTTCGGGAAATTACGACACATCTTCTCGTCAGGTATACCTCAATCTCTGAAAACTAAAGTGTACAACCAGTGCGTGTTGCCAGTGATGACTTACGGATCAGAGACGTGGTCCTTCACTGCTGGCCGTATGAGGACGCTCAAGGTCGCTCAGCGAGCTATGGAGAGGGCTATTCTCGGAGCTGCGTGATAGACTCAGAAATGAGGATATCCGCAGTAAAACCAGAGTGACCGACATAGCCCAACTTATTAGTAAGCTGAAGTGGCAATGGGCCGGCCATATAGCTCGAAGAACCGATAACCGATGGGGAAGAAAGGTTCTCGAGTGGCAGCCTCGTACCGGTAGGCGTAGTGTAGGGTGACCCCCCACTAGATGGAGTGACGACCTGGTAAGACATGCAGGAAGTCGATGGATGCAGGTGGCTCAGGACCGTGCTTTGGCATTACTTGGGGGAGGCCTATGTTCAGCAGTGGACTTGTGAAGGGCTGTAATGATGATGATGATGATGATGTACTATATATTGAAAATTCCACAGTTACAAGTGCTCCCGGCATTGTTTTTTTACCGCATCATTTTTTTAAAGTTTGCGTACCAACATCATGGGTTTAATTTTTTTTTGCGCGCCACCCTAATTCTTTTTCTAAAATAAAATTAGCCTAAGATATTCGTTATAACATCAGTTATTCGCCAGTGAAAACCCCGTCGCAGTCCGTCCAGCCGTTTCGGAGATCAGCCGGAGCAAACAGACCGACAGACAGACAAAAATTTGAAGAATACTGTTATTAGTAGCACCGTATATACTTTCATATTCAACTAGTAAAAAAACTGTTATTTTGAAATCGCTTCAATTGTATTTATTTGTTTATAGATTTAGTAGAATTTGGGTTAGACTTTATCACAAAAGCGTTAGGATGCGTGAATAACTGCTTTTTTGAGTAACATTGTTGTAAGTTAACATTATAGTTGTACTAATATAAATCACGATAGAACTAATAATGTACGTCATCTATTTATGCAAAGCTGAAAATAACAGGCAGATATAATTAATTACATTTTCGTATAAATGATGATATGATTCTCGCTCTCTTTTAGATTCAGACTTACGATAATCTGATTGGACCAGTTGTGGAGTCACTGAAGTATCTGACATCGTTATCTCTAGATGTCTTGGGTTATTGTTTGCTAGAGGCATTATGTGCCGGAAAGGCGAACAGTGGGGGAGCAGCTCATCCTCCATGGCTGCAGGCGTTAGCTGCTTTCGCCGGAGCAGCATTTAAGAAACATAATATAGAACTTACTGCACTTTTGCAATTTGTTGCGAACAGGCTAAAGGCTCAACAGAGGTACTAAACAATTTATTATTACGTTTAAGATAGATTAATACTTTAATTGGTTTTTGTCTAATGGATATTATACAAAAACCAATTAAAGTAAGTCAATATGTTAATTGATTTTTATATTTCAAAACAAAAAGGTATGAGTAAGAAGATGTTGTTTACTTATAAATATATTGACTGTAACTTGTAAAAATTGTTACTTTTTTCTCTATTTAGGTAAAGATATGCCCATAAATTTAAATTTTGTATAAACCACAAAACACACGAGGACGTGACGTGCGGCTATTTTTCTTGATTTATTATAATCCGTGTTTCAGAAAAACAACAGATCAATTTCTGTAAAAATAGTGTTTAAGAAAATAAATTAGCTTTACTGATTATTCTTTAATTATAATAATAACAAAAACAGGAAAATAACACAATGACTTGTTTTGCATGTCTTAATTATTCAAGTTAGCAATGTATACATGTTAAAGAGCAGGTGTTAATTTCTATATTATTACATTATACACTTCGTAATACTTAATGAATTTCATTAAGTTTGAAAATGGAGTAAATTGCTAGCAGAACCTTACGAATGCTTGATTGTTAATTAAATAAGAGTGCCTATAAATGGTAATTTTAAAGTGTTGACAACTATACTAGTTGTCCACACTGCTATAGTTGAACTATCCATAACCAGAACATACCAATGACTAAAATGATACTTATTAATTAAATCCTATTGTACTATTTGGAATCTATACATTAAAACAGCTAGCTATAAAAATGCATTAGCCTGCAAAAACGATCAATTATGTTATACAAATTTCTGATATTTATTAATCATTTATAATAAAATAACATTTTTCTCTAAACACAGCCAAGATTTGTTGATATTAAAAGAAATAGTACAAAAAATGGCTGGCATTGAAGCAGCAGAAGAAATGACACCTGAACAACTTGATGCCATGGCTGGAGGTGAACTTCTTAAAGGCGAGGTAAACAAGTTTTAGCATAACACATTTTTATTTTTATCGTATTTTAGGTTATAAGAATATAGATTTTGTTAACATTACGGTTAATGCGGTATCAGCACTTAAACTTCATTAAAAATTACAACTCTTCAATTTAAATTTCTATTACAACTTCTAGCTGTTAATTACTTCCTAGTAATGTTTGTGTTGATTTGTGAAATATATTGTTTAGGACAAAATATGACCTGTGCAAAAAATATTAATTTTTTTCTCTCATAATAATGTGTTTGTATAATTCCTGTTATAATGAGTTGTATAATCTTAAGTGCTGAATTACCATGTGTTTCGGCGTTGAAGGCAAATTGATGGAACCAACATGTGTTAGATAATAAAAAAATAACTTAAAATAGTAACAAAACACAAATTTCTTATTTAAAGTTCTGAGTGTCTAATATTTACGTGTACGATAGTAATTATGAAGTTAAAATGGAGTATATTATATTGATAAAATAAATTATCATTTCAGGCTGGATACTTCTCACAAGTACGAAATACAAGGAGATCATCAGCTAGATTGAAAGAGGCTGTTGTTGGAAACAACTTAGATATAGCTTTATGTATATTATCTGCTCAACAACGTCATTGTTGCGTATGGAAAGGTAAGAATTTACATTATAGAAAAAAAGAACCTGTGGAGCGAGGCTTCGCTCGACGTCGTATTTGAAGAATTTTTTTCTTTGGGCTTAACCTGTGTTAAGTGGGTTTTCGCTATTGGTACTGTGCATGTTGACGGTGCGGGCTCGATGAGCCGACATTTCTAATCTTATTCTTTATCCGTACGGACTATCCAAACACTTGAGAGAGCTAGTATAATTTCAGTATGTGAGGTATTTTTCGTAGTCTGTGGAATTGACCACACTTCTGGTCCTTTTAAATTTACGCTTGACTAGTGTCAATGAGTTGCTACTACCATTAGGTGGACTGTTATCTCCTTCTTTCTTAAGTAAAGAATAACCTTATGCAAGATCTGCTCTTGAGAGTGCCTGTAATGCAAATGGTAAATAGATGCTTCTTAATAGAAATATGTCCAATAATGGTGCTTCTTGCTACTGTATATGGTAAAGAACAATCATTTATTCCAAGCAGGGCTTGCCTTGCTTGTAATGCAATCTTCATGGGTTGTCCAATACTGAGAGTGATTTATTGATGAAGTGTTTATGTACTATTAGTGAATGAACATGCCCAAACAGAATTGGTATAATCGATTAAAATCCTATGTCGCCTAGACTTGAGCCTCCTCTGGGCATTGACTTATATATTACTAGCGTAAAGACCGGGCTGACCGAACAACTAAAATGGACCAGTGCGCCTGCCCTAAAATTACAGTTTAGGGCCAACGCGAATCAGTCTTAGTGGTGCGCGCGCAGGACAGATTTGCCTGTCACAAATATCTCTAGTTACGTGTAAAGGAATGCAAAAATTACGATACAAAGATTTAAAAAAAAACATGGGACATCGTATCATCGGTAAATAATCTTATATTAATTTTGTTACGAATAAATTATTATACAAACGCATTTATAAAGTTTTATTTTACAGTTAGTTTATTTACGTTGCCAAGATCAGGCCAGGGTTGGATTCAGACATCAAAAATATTGTACATGAAAAATAAACTTATATTACTAAAAAAAAACAATTATATCACGTTTGATGTTTCATGTTTTTTTCCCATGTGCCGGGATTTTACCGTCACGCGTCTATTTTATCTATACGTTTCGTCTTTTGACGGTTTTATTTTTATTTCTGTTTAATTTTTGTCTTAAGAACTTAGTGTAAGTTAAATTTTGAATATTGGTACCTAATATATTTTATATTCAATGAAGGTAAAACGAAAAGAGTACAAAAGAAACCATATCTTCTTAATTGAATCTGAAAATCTGATTCATAACATATTTTGAAATTGTGTTTTCAAACCGATTGCTTGTGGAGCATAGAGTTTTTATCGTGGTAGCCCCTCATTATAGTTGTAGTTATTGTTATACGATGCAAAATAAATGCATCGATCGCACATCGACCAGAAAGGGAGCTAATTCTAATTTTATTAAAAAAACGCGGTACTTATGTACAATACAGAAATTCTCGATATTGTATGGTTAATATTAAAATGGAAAAGGACCCAATAATAATAAAAGTCGACCTATAGGTAAAATTATGGTATTTTCGCTTAGTATTATTACGATACTATGTACTACAAACTATGAAATAATGGTACAATTAGGATAATTATACTACGAAATCCGACCCTGGTTATGACGTTTGTATTATGACAGATGCGCTACTTTTTCTTGTATGAAAAAGTTATGAGTGAAATATTTAGATGGGCCTATCCTTCATTTTGAAATCATTGCCTCTGGGTAGTTGTGGCATTTGTGTATTAGTTCTGAGTTTGAAGTAGAAGTTTTCTGTTTTATTGTTGGTTTTTATGGAATAAGGGTGACAAACGAGCACATAATTTACCTGATGGTTAGTTGATACTGTGGCCCATATACTAGATCTACATGCATCAACAATTAAGAACAAAAATTCCCGTACGTTTGTCACTCCCGAGACCTAAGATGAAATGCCTCATTTCTAGTGAAAACGGTCTCCAGTGCTCTACACTCACTACACGAAACACAGCAGTGTATGCCCTGTGGGCATAGTCCTTCTCCAGTCAAGCTGACCTATTCATACTACAACAATAATAAAGCTGCAGCATGTCATTACCGCCTAATAAGTTATTCTTCAAACTACATATTACAATTAACAAACATTGGTTGCAGAATGTGAAGATGAGGTATCCACACCTGGTGAACCACCTGGGTCTCAGTTGAAAGTAGTGGGCCGATTAGCTGATCAATGCCAGGATGCTTTGGTGCAGTTGGGAACCTTTCTTGCATCTTCTCACGCTCCTGATGAGTATGCTGCAAGATTGCCACCATTACAAGTATATATTTATATTGATAATGCCTTTTTTCAAAAGAATCATGTCCGGTCTTGACCTGAAAATTTTCTAACGCGTCTAGTGATGTAAAATATCTTATAAAATTACACATTTTTTGCTTATTTCGTATTGCATAACTAAATTTTCAAATTAAGCCAGGAAAAAAAGTAATATTACTATGTTTATCATTCTCAGTAGACTTTTGGAGATGGACCTTGTTTTACAATGACTCAAAGGCCCAGAAGCCATGCCAAAATATATAAAAAACGTGTTTTACATGTTCCGTTTCAAACTACGAAAAACTTGTTCATTCGCCATGTGGTTTATGAATGTTTAAAATAACCAGTTGCTTTGTTTTATAACTTATTAATTTCTGATTAGATACGATTTTTTAATGGTTTTATACTATGGCGTGGAAAGAAAAATAAGTGTACAGACCTAATCTTATAGCTCTTATAACCTCAAAAACTTATTTACTTAATAGCATTTTTCCCTGGCCTCTAAATGAAAAGATGATAAGTTATTATGTCATTATAAACAATAATTGTTTTTATGCAATACTAGTTGTAGGTAGATGCGACCTGGAAAGTGGACATGATTCTTTAAACATATCATTATACAGATTAGGTAAATTGGGATTTACAGGTATAGATATTGGATTTGATAATTTTGATAGGTCACTTGCATTTGAAACTATGGTACATAACACATATCATACAGCTATCTGTATAATATAAGGTTGTTTAATGTATAAGGGTGTTTCATGAATTATGCACAGTTCAAATGTGTGTGTGATATAAAGTACGAATACAGTACGGATACAAATTGCTATTTAATTGTTTGTTATAGGAACTACTTCGAGACTATCATGTGGATGCCGATGTGGCGTTTTTCCTTCACCGTCCAGTACTAGCACAAAAAATAGCTGCAAAAGTAGAGTTATTGCGTAAAAGCTCCGATAGTAAAACAGATTCACAAGAAAAGAGTATCGAAAGGTATTGTACAGCAGCGAAGGAAATTTTAGAGCCAGTAATAATATCTATAACGCCTCTGCTGCCTTCTAGAGTTTGGGAGGATATATCGCCAGAGTTCTACGTATCCTTTTGGTATGTTAATTATTTGGCTATTTATTTAAGTATATGTAATATAGATCATTGTACAATAATGACTAGACGTTTTGATCACTAACTTTTTATTTCTATTGGTTAATAACTTATTTTAATATCAAAAAATAATCGCTCTGCACAAATAATTAAATCCTAATTGTGATTGTATAATTTTATTTGGATTCTTACAACATATAATATTTTAACGTCCAGATTATAAAATAGTTATTGTTTATTCATCTTATCTGCAACAATTATTTAATACACGTTTTTCTATCACATTAAATTAAGTATATAATATGGTTGTCATGTTTTTTTTATGTAATGAACTTTTAGCATTTAATATTTAGCATTTGTTAACTACAAACTGTACTATGAAATAACAATATGTAAATATACATACTTAATTTTATTTATTCTTAGGTCGTTGTCAATGTATGACCTGAAAGTCCCAGAAGAAAGCTACGACCGCGAAATTGAGCGTTTGAAAAATGCTGCTTCGAATGCCACAAAAGATTCATCGCAAGGTACAAAAGGCAAAAAAGAACAAGAGCGCTATAACACACTTATAGATAAACTACAGGTGAGTTAATATAATAACATGTCTTTCAATTAACAGATAAAGTTTTGCGTTATTTATTTCCCTACATTCTAGGATAAATCATAGAGATTGAACAGGTTTAATAGTGTTGAATCTTATGAAATATTATACTGCTGGATTTTTGGACATAAGTGAGGCATTCAATACAGTGAATATACATAATTCCTTTAAAATCATTCTGGTTCTTATTTTTAGTACTGCTTTACCCTGTTTAGACTTTTATGAAATTAAATCAGATGTAGTTCAAAGGAACATCATTAGACACTTGCTGCAGATTGTTATTCCTTAACAGGAATTGTTTTGTTTAAATAATGGTTTGTAGTTTTTTATTTGTAAAAGTGGTGGGATTTTGTGTAATTAAATGTCTGCATATGTGAGCTATTGGCAGAAATGTGATATAAGTCTCAAGTCTGTCAAAAATCCCGCAATGTGTCGCATATTGTTAACAATTTTGTAAAAGTAATATACTTAAGAATACCAGCTTAAAATAGCAGCTTAACGCTGCCGGGGACCTCTTTTACTTGAAACAAGGCATTCAATCTTAGATGTCACGGGTGATAACGCATCTGCATCTTGATTTGTAGTCGGGGATAGATGTTGATGTCTATGGGCTACAGCAACCACTTACCATCAGGTGGACTGTGTGCTCGTTTGTCATCCTTATTGTATAAAAAAAATTGAATAGTTTAATTCTATATCAATTGAATGATAATTAATTTTAACTATGGTCACACATACTGAAATTGAGCACTGCGATTTTTCTCAATAGAAGAATAGTGAAAATACATTTAACTTGATACACAAAAACATTTTCAACATTTGTTAATTGAATTTAGACAGACATTCATTTGTTCCACATTATTCTAGTTACATAAATAGCTAATGCATTTTGACTTGTTGACACATTATATAATATGTAGCTGGTACCCAGTGCATTGCTGCCGCAGAAGAAATAATTGTGGAAATATTGTTTTAAATTTGGAAGAGCTGTTTTTTGACATTTATTGAAATTGAATGATACACCTATATATAACTTTAAAATAAATTTGTCGTTACAATACGCGCGCCACCTGGTTTAAGTTATTGTAATATGCCTATAACCTTCGCGCAAGTGTAAGCATTATATTGACTATGTTTTACCGCAATCTGATGAACATTATGGCAGCACATAAAATACGAACCAACAAACATTAATTGTATATATTAGAAGATAATCGATCTGCCCCGGCTTCGCACAGGTGGTTTCTCCATCACGCAACAGCACTACCTACCGGGTCCAAATATGAATCTAAAACATTTAGGGATTCATCGTAACACACAAAAACAATTTCATCAAAATCGGTCGAGCCATTTTTGAGCTTTAGCAAGATTAACGGACTGCAATTGATTTTTGCCTATTATTATTGCCGTCTTTTCTCTACTATAATACGCGTGTATATACATATAAACCTTGCTCTTGAATTATTCTATCTAATGATGAAAATCGCATCAAAATCCGTTGCCTAGTTTAAGGGTCATCCACACGGGCCGGCTCGGAGAGGAGAGCGAATTTTGATCATGATAAAAATAGAGCTTTACGTAATTGTATTAAGGTTTATTTTTACATTTCACTTATTTTGTTATATGAGAATGCTTGAGTGCCGACCTAACGTACTTAGTGTAAAACAATAAGAGGAGCCGTGCGTGTGATAACGTGAACGGCTTCGTTTGCTTGCTCTTTCCCGCTCAGGTAGCTGATAGCCACTAATAGATCATAGATATATCTTATATAGGACAATTTTGATAGTAATGTTTGAAAGTAACAGATGTAAAGATGATCAGATCTATGTGAAACGGCTTGGGCAGTTTAGGCCGGTTCCAAGTGTATAATCCGCGCAAGTCTGTATGAATAGAAGAGCACCGTCCGATGCTCTCACAGCCTGTCTGTATGAACGGACATTGGGTGCGTTTGGCAGAAAAAAGCGCTAGCAAGCGCTTGTAAGCATAATGGCGAAACTACACAGTTTTCAGCCAGGACACGTTTGCTAACTACAGTAGCGCTGACACAATCCGCCATTTTGCTTATTTAATTTGTTTTGAAATATAGTTTATAAGTTGTTTTTTGCAATATTAGTTTTAAGTAATATAATGACATGAATAGACATATACATGTTATTAAAACATTCATGATTGGTAAGTTTTTAATATGAATACTTTACAAACATATATTTAAATTAGGTTAGGTTCCTCGGTTAAACTAACTTCGTGTCCTAGAGGAAAATAGCTACTTACGATTTGACACCGCTTATCGCTTACGATCGCCATTTTGCTTACAAGCGCTTGCTAGCGCTTTTTTCTGCCAAACGCAGCCAATAAAAGATGTAAGCGTAGAGACGGCGGGAAGCGGCTTTGTTTTGTAGTATGTCGAGAAGATGATTATATACAAATGGTGGGGGGCAGGAGGAGCGGCGGCGGCAGCGCGAGCACGCGGCGCGCGTGGTGGCGCGGCTGCAGCGCGAGTGCGGCGGCTGGTTCCCCGCACGCGCCGCCAAGTCCGCCAAGAACGAGACCGTCACGCGCCTCATGCAGCTGTGCCTGTTCCCGCGCTGCGTGTTCACCGCCGCCGACGCGCTCTACTGCGCCGAGTTCGTGCACACCGTGCACGCGCTCAAGACGCCCAACTTCTCCACGCTGCTCTGCTACGACAGGGTAAGCTGTTCCACAATCAAACGACCACCTTACCTTACAATTGATATAATATATTCGTTTTCAGCAGGAATTAAACGGCAGGTATTCTTTTAGTTATATAACAGTTATTTTCTTTCATTCGTACAAAAAACTAATCCACAAATGACGCTATTCTTTTGTGATCGTTACTGGTAGTTATGAGTATGAGGCAGCGACAGTGAAAACTTCTTAGCTTTACAAACTTGAAAACATTATTTTTGTATAGTATATAGGGTTATTTTGAATATTAGCAATATTTTAAACTTATATCATTATATCGTTATTGCAGGTTTTGAAAATATGAGTAAATAAGACGTCTACTTTGATTTGAAATTATCCCAAATTGAATGTGATTTATGGGCAACAGTGTTTTTGATTACCGATCAATTGTTTCGAATGTGTGGTTGTGCAGTAAAATCAGTTAAAATAATGCATTACCACGCATTTTCAATTCAAAAGATAAAAAGGATATATATATTAGCATGGCATACCTGGTTGGTTGCAGCTGTTCTGCGACATCACGTACTCGGTGATGTCGTGCACGGAGGCGGAGGCGGCGCGCTACGGCACGTTCCTGCGCGCGGTGCTGCGCACGGCCATGCGCTGGCACGCCGACCGCGCCGCCTTCCAGCAGGAGTGCGCGCACTACCCCGGCTTCGTCACCAAGTACCGCGTCTCCAACCAGTTCTCCGAGGCCAACGACCACGTCGGCTACGAGAACTACAGGTGGCTGTCGCTCCACGCACGAACAAATCGTGTACCACACATTTTTTACGTGGTAGAGCCACGCTGCAGCTAGATTACGGTTGTAGCACGAATGGGTTGGCTCGACCGGGGTAGAACCACGCTCTAACAGAATACCAAAGTAAAATAGCAGCCTAGTGCTGCTGTCTTTCTTACGGTGAGTGTAGAGAACTGGAGACCATTTTTACTGAAAACAAAGCATTGCATCTCAATTCATAAGGGTGACAACGCATTTGAAGATGTCTGTAGATGTGTGGGCCGCAGCATCCATTTACCACCTGGTGGACTGTGTGCTCGTTTATCACCCTTATTCTATAAATAAGAAACAAATTTAACGTTCACTGCTGCATGTAGACTTAATTTACAGATTGCTAGAAAACGCTTTTCGGAGCTAGTTTCATCCATTAAAGTCCATTTTAAAATCTCCTTATCCTACACTTGTAAGTGCGAGGCCGCCACTTAACAATCTTTCTTCCTTATCAATTTTTGAACTATGTGTCCAACCCGACCCATTTTCAATTCGGTTTACTAACCTATTAATGTTTATGTCAGGTAGCCTTGTTCCTTTGCAGATATCTTCGTTACGGATTTCGTAATACGGAAATATCGCAAACATATCCATTTTTATAACTTGATTATTCAATTTAAGTTTTCCCATACACCTATATAGTAATGAAGGACCGTGTCTTGGTTTCACAAATCATGTCATCAGCAACAATCAAAACATTCCTTCCAATACTAATTTATGAAACCAAGACATTTGCAACAATTGATTAATCAAATTATTTTTACGTTTTCGTATTACAGCATTATTGTTGCCCCACTATATTAAAAAAAAAAAAAGATAAATTAACTAGACTATGTTGTCCCAATACTTCTGGGTTAAGCCTCTTTTTCTTTCAAGTTTTATGGAATCAATTTAAATATTTTATATAGTTTTATGGATCACTTTTAATGAATTGTAGCCTTCATCCAAGTAGTTTCATGTTAGTAATATGAAACAATCATGTTTTGTATGAAAGTAAAGTAAAGAGAATAGAGTATCAACTTTATATTCATGTGACTAATCTTTATTAATGTTGGTTAACTTTTAGGCATGTATGTCACAAATGGCACTACAAAATCACCAAAGCCATGGTAGTGTGTTTGGATTCCGGCGACTATGTCCAGATACGTAATGCATTGATAGTGCTCATACGAGTCTTGCCCCACTTCCCTGTATTAGCAAAGTTGGCCCAGATCATTGAAAGAAAAGTTGAAAAGGTATGTTATGTTATTCAGGATTAATATTAATTACAAAAAAAATATTACGTCGCTTAGATTTATATTACATGATTTACATATATTACCAGGTTAAAGAAGAAGAAAAGATGCAACGTCAAGATTTGTATGTGCTTGCTACAGGATACAGTGGACAATTGCGGAATAAAGTACCAACTATGATGAGAGAATGTGACTTCCATCAGGTAAATATCCAAAAATATATAATTTAAATGTAATATCGATAGTGAGAATTGAAATGCACTATATGAAAGTATTAAAAAATGGTATAATAATTTCTTTTTTCTTTTTCTTTAAAAGGCAAAGAAATTACATAAGTTTAAACATCTTCACTACTACGTAACTAAAATAATTAGGCACATTAGCATTAGCAACTAAGACGTCATTAGAATTAAGGAGGGAGGGAGCACTGGTACGGTGATTGGTCACTAGCGGAAGCGCGGGGATAGCGACAGAGTGCGGGCGCCGAAAACGCATTCCTATCATGCGCGTAATTGTTTTGGCCGAGTTCTACTGTATAATATGCTCAAATTGAGTTGTTAAGTTAGAAGTAAGACAAATTTTTCGCACTTATTCACAAGTGAATTATTATAGTAATTCAAATCATACTTAGATGGGCGATCAGCATAAGGCGGTAGCTGCGGCGACGGCACCTTCAGCCTCAGTTAAGGAAGAAAGTACTGCTGCCAAGCAGGAAACTGAAGCCAGTACTTCACCACAACCAATTGGTATGTCTATTAATAGTTAATCGTGAATAAAACAGTTATTACTTTCTTGCAAAAAAAATGTTTGGTAATAGATAAATTAATTTGGATCTAATTTGCTTTAAATGTAATTGTTCAGTCGGGACCGGTCTGTACTCTTAACATTTTAGATGTTTCTACATTAGAAATTAGAAGGTTCTGGTACTATCTAAGGCCCTATATATTAGGCGGAAAATTGGGATGCCGAATATTCGAAGTATACAACTGCAGGCAATTGTGTGTTATTAGTGTGGTTTTAAGTTGTAATAGTTTCTTAATTCAATTTTGGTAATTCACTCGGCAGTTTTTAATTGCCTCGAACCATAATCTCGTAACAATATGTATGTTACTCCTAAGCCTTGGCTAGTCACTGAAATTAGTTTCGAGACCTATCCACAATATTACAATGAACTTTATCTTACTGGTCGTACTATAACATCAATCACACTTAAAATTGTTATTAACATATAATTGCCTCTGGACTTCTTAGTTTTAATGTGTTAACTAACTTTTTAACTACCTTTTTCATTCATTAGATACAGAAAAAAGAGAATCAAGAAATAGTGACAGACGTCGTGAGGAGTCCGACCGCGATAAAGAATCTAAGCGTGAATCAAGATCGTGAGTTAATTTTATTTTATTTGTACTATTGTAATTAACCGAGATCAAAAAGCTGGCAGGTTTTATATTCGAAAAGTATGTTCACCAATTCCTCGGATACAGCTGTACCAATTTTAATGATTCCTTCTTTTATTAAATAGGGGGTTAATTCAGGGGTGGTATGGTCAGGTGTTTTAAAAAAACAAATCCTCCATGTAACTATTTAGGCGACATCCCAGTTGTTACTCTGAATTTGTGATATTCCTTAGTCCAATGAAAAGGTAAAAAAATTAAGATTTATAAAAGTTAAAAGTTAATCATTCCCACACTATACCTTCTGAAGTCGGGGCACTACACTTACACAAATGTCTTTAAAAAGACATACCAAATGTCTTAACATAGACTTAAAAAACGTTATAAAATTAATGTTCTGATTAATGTCAGATATATTTCTATGTCTAAGCACATCGCGTAAAAATATAAACAGGACATGACATACAGACATAGATAATATAGATGAACCCAAATGTGTGCATAAAAAAATAACGATATAATGCATTTATATCTATAAATATTTAGACCTGTTTTGCTATATTTTGCCACTATACTGGCCCGTGTTTGTCATATGGTTAACAGTTGCTATTTCATATGAATTAGAACTATGCTCAATGATATCTTATAGTTTGTAGTAGTTTAGAAGTTGTTTTTTACGTGTTAGAGCCATGCTGCAGCTATGTTATAGTTGTAACACGAATGGGTCGGCTTGACCAGGGAAGGATCACTCTCTCACAGAATACCAGCGTAAAATAACAGCTTAACGCTGCTGTGTCTCGTATGGTGAGTGTAGATAACCGGAGACCCTTTTTACTGGAAATTAGGCATTCCTCCTTAGTCCTCACGGGTGACAACGCATCTACATTTTGGATAATCGAGGATGGATGTACATAGATGTCTATGGAGCCACAGCAACCACTCACCATTGGGTGGTCTATGTACTCGTTTGTTACCCTTATTCTATAAAAAAAATACTGTAATAGCCTTTGGAGATACTAAGTTTTGAAATGTGAGTGTTATTTAAAATATTGTTGTTTTTGCCGTGTGATGACAGCATATGAGAATCCATCGTCCCATGGCGTCTCTTAGACCGATTTATTTTATATTGGTTTTAACATTGCGGGGTATGCTAGAAGTCTAATACAGTCATTGCTAACTGCTTTCCTGAAAAAAACTTCCCTAATAAACTAGACACTTTGTTGAATAAACTACAATATAATTATTTTTTGCTTTTTGTAAAATATGAAAATATTTTCTCTATATGATCGGAAACGACAATAATATTAATGTATTCAAAATATTAAGAGTCAGCTGCCAAGTAGGTAAACAATGGATTCTAATCTTTTCAGGTCTCTGAAGGAGAGAAGTAAAGAAGAAATAAGAAATAAAGATAGGTCACCAAGAGATCGATCGCACAGGGTAAGTTTATAAAGGAGGATGGCCAAATTTCTATAGGAGCTGGACTTGACTTTTATTTTTATGTCCCAAAACAAACTAAGTATAGTTAGATTGGTTTGTTTTTATGTTGTAAACATAATCACGTTTAAAAATAATATCTAAATAGCCACGATTTTTTATAATAACGTCAACTATATTTTTAAGGCTGAATCAACAAATACTTTTACTTTTTTTATTTATTGATCATTTCGTTAAAATATAATATTGGTATATCAAAATTGCAATCAATTCAAATGATATTACATTAGATTATTAAAATTACAAGTTAAAATACATCTACATTTACATGTCAAGCAAGTCAGAAAATGAACATTTCATATACTCTTCTATATTATAGAAAGCGTGATTCAAAAAGTATGTTTTTGTCACTTGTCGATACGCGTTTAATGGAAGTTTTGTTATTTCTAAAGGCAATTTATTGTACATTTTGATTTTTAACGAAAAACTTTGCTTGGACGCTTTATCCGACTGCGATGTAGTCTAAAAGTTTAGTTAGCGATAAGTGAGGAGGGTAATTAGCGATCTCGTTTCCATTTATTTAGATTTCTCTGAAATAATTTTATTACCCAATAATGGAACATCTCTCAAAGCGCACCCTACGTATGTGCATACTCCTAGAATTCGATGTCAAAAAAGGCCGTCTGTCAAACCATCTCGTGAAGTTGACCGTTTAGACGACCAACTATGACCGATAATTCAATAAAAACTACATCTACATATAATGCACTAGCTTGCACAGTATGTAGTGTAAAAAAACAAGGATGGTGTATTGTCACATGAGGTCTTTCCTGAAAGATTTCAAGGCTTTTTTGTAGTTTGACCATTTAAATTCTAGCTGAAGAGAGTTAGTCGCTAGATACCTACTGTCTTTCAGTCTTCAATACTAAAGTTGCATATGTATTGAAAAATCGAGTAATGGTAGGTTACGGGAGTAAATGAAGTGTAATGGTAGAATTTAGGAGTACTTTAATGAAATAAGTAGGCTAGACAAAATTACTTTTTATTCATCATCTTCTTACAACTACAATATCAAGGAGTGATGCTGGCGTTGGCGATATTGTCGGCTGATACCTGGTCCACCCAAGGTACCACACAAGCATCATAACATGTGCACAGCACCCAACTGTTCTTCTACCAACTAAATAATTACAGCAATACTCTATTATAGCTTCCCTTCCAGACACATTATTTTCAATTAATATATAAACATAATATACTTTTCTGGAAATGTGTCTGAATTTGATTTTGCCTCTTATAAGTGAATTATGTCCACCTCCTCTCAAACAATACTCTGTTACATTAATGTTTTCTCTGCTTATTTCAATTCGATACCCTCTGTGTAACCTGACATGTTCACTATAATAAGACCTTGCCCGTTGAAACTGATATGTTCCTAGGGCAAATAATATAACTTCACTATATTCTAGACGGGGGAATATAATATTAGTATTGGAATGAGCTATAATACTAGTAAAATCAGATGTTCGTCTATTCATATTCATACTATTTATAAAATCAGATAAATTATTATTTAATGGAAATCGTTCTCTAATCACATTTATGATTTGCTCAGCATCATTCCTGTTTTTTAATCGAACACTGAATTTATTTAAAAGGCTTGCAGCTATGGAAAACATATGCATCATATGGGCCAAAGCAGTCTACAATGTAGCCATTAGGTGTCACCAGCAAAAATGGTTTTAACAAGTTTTTGTATTTATGTAAGGAATATGTGTACTGTTGGAACATATAATTGGAACTTTTGTTTATAAAAATATATGTCCCATCACATATAATTGTCGCATTATCATTATTTTGATTATAAATTGCATTTGGAATCATTAAATTGTGTTGTAATAATTGCTCACGGGATATGTGTTCAATTCCCAGATTTCTAGGCACATAATCTTGTACCAATATTTCCCTAACCTTATCCATTAATTTTTCTAATGTTCGCCTTGGAACCATTAATAACTGAGATAACCGGTCATCTGATTCACCAGTTCTCATCATTAGAAGAGCACCTAAACCTAAAATGCCTCTGTTTGTTTTTATAAGATGCGGCTTTCATATAATAAAAGTTCAAATTGTTGTTTATTCATTCCGCGCCAATAATGAAACAAATGCATGCAAAACACTTTCAATACTCGAGAAGTCAAGAAATGTGTTGAAAGCATTTATAATAGAAAGAGCATGTTTCAATGTAAACGTTCTCAAACTATTTTGAGAATTGAACAACATATCCCAATCAGTACTAAATGTATGTTCTACACAAATATGAGCATTTATAGGCAAGTAATATTTGTGTTAGGCATAGGCAAGTAAGAGTTGTTGCTCTTAGAGGGTCAGAAATTCTATGCAAATCTGTGTTCTGGCAACCAGAAAAAACACAATGTGCTGCAGTGTTTGCCGCTCGTCTATACTGCGGCTAACTAATCACCCGAGGTACTACGTAATCTTGCTGGTCGGTATTTGGAGGGCTTTAAGGTTCTTGGGGTTGAGGCTCTGGATCCTGCTCCAACTCTGGCTCTGTCTACTGCATATTATGTGTTGCAACTCTCTTAAGTCTCGGCCAACAGGGATGACAAACATGGTCTGTTGAAGTTACCTGAAACAACCATACAGCCTTGTCTTAATATAAATGTTTTGGCTCATTATTATTAAACCCGATCAAATAGAAACATTTTTACAAAACAATATAAAATTGCAGTGATAAATTCACTATAACTTTGATAGCAAGACAAAACAAAAAAAAAATACAAAATAAAAAGGTAATTATTACCTGCCGTGGGGCAATTCTATTTTCAAGCTCAACATGTATTGCTTGTTGCAGCTGAGATGGATTCTCTCTCACAATAAGATCACATTTAAATTTCCTCAGGGAACTTCCACAAAGTATGCAAACATGCTTGTGGCCACGGAAAGATGAAGCACCAGGTTCGTTAGGTAACCCGGAGTTGACACGCTGTATTGCAAATTGTTGACAAGCATCACATACGTAATCTGAAATAAGAATTAGTTTTAGTTGTATTATGATGTATGATTGATATATGTTAGAGTAATAAAGTAAATAGGTATGTAAATACGTACTATTATTGAAGAATTCCACTCGCAATCTTAGAAATTATTCTGGTATCAAGCTCAAAAACGACATGGTGGCGAAGTGTATCAATGCATATGTTACAATTAACACATAGCAATATCAGTATAGTTTGCACGATATCTCTCACAATTATCCAAGATGTGAAAAAATCAGTTCGTAAAACAATACCGAAGTCAAAACAACAGAAGGAAATAACAAAAATGGCGCGGATTGATGACCACAGATTAAGCGATGACAAATGACGTTCCGTTGTACATATTTAATTAAACAAAACGTTTAAATAAATATCTCATATTGGGACGCTATCATTTTGTTGTCAGGTATGATTTGGCCATCCTCCTTTGATTTTGTACTGGATATTCTTATGAACATAGTTGTACTAATGTTCTGCAATCATTTGTTTCAGGAGGAACGTTATTTAGAAACAGTATCCCCGCCACTTGACCACCGTCATCTACCTGATGATATTGACCGCGGTAAGTTTCTGTTTATTTCATAATATTACATTTTTTCTTACAAGCCACAGAATGGAACCCTGGCCCACTCTAAACCTAATTTTGCACAGATACTCCTATCAAAGCTTAATTTAAATTCAGTTAATATATTTAAAAGATATTATAATATTATAATGTGTACATAAGATCAGATCATCAACAATTAAAATTTTCTTAATGTGTGTTGTTCACCAATTATAATCATGTATTTATTCATTACAACATAGGAACTGAACAAAGGCCTCCCCCATAGATTGCCTTATAAGAGAAATTTTTTCAATGATCACTTTTGGGTTGGTTGGTTTGGCGGATTGATAACTGTAGTATTTTTTTATTATTTCGATTTGTTATCAAAAAGATGTTGCTGCCCTTTTCCTGTTTTTTTCACTTTCTGTTTTATAAGAATTAATTTCTTTTTCAGATGTGAAGCGTCGTAAAGTAGAAAGCAGCAGTAATGGCAAGGTGAGTATTGTTATAATAAGCGGACCTTGCATCGCGCTAGCACCGGACTGACGATTGGGCTGGACCGCGACTACGATTCAACGCCATCTGCAATCTAAAACCGTTTAAATAATTTCTAAAATAAAATGTGCCAAACAGTGTTCAAGATACCCTGGACTTTTAAGACAGTCAAGTGTGAAAAACTAGTAAAGTTAAAGAAATGCGGTGATAGTAGAAAAAAATCAAGCCGAAACATGATATATACAAATGTTATGAAATAAAATTTTATTATAATAGAAAAAAATATCAAATAAAAGTAAAAACAATAATTCAACTGATGTTTAAAAAAGTCATGGGAAGAATGAATACCAATGAATTATAAGAACCCAAAAGTATCATAACTATGTACCTATCTACAGGGAATATTACTGATAAAATGACTTGAGATGAAGATAAAGGAAAGTAAATGATGATGGATGCTGCAGAAACAGAGCAAAAAAAAAGATTTCATAAAAGACACATTATTACTATAGTGACAATAGAGTAATGTTGTTAATACTTGAAACAGTGCAGAAATTAAATAAATCTGGTTTAAAATAATTACAAAAATAAAGACAATGAACTCATGAACACCTATACCAACTGCAATATAAATATAGAGAATGATATCATGATTAAAGCGATAACTTGAAACATTTTCATTTTATATTTTTTCAATTAACTCAACTATAAATTTCAAGCTACTAACTAATTGAAACCATGGATAGAAAAATACTGTAGAAGACAACAAATTTCCATTATCTACTCCATCCACCACATGAAGAAAATTGAAATAAAAATATAGAGAATAATATCATGAATAAAGCAAAAACTTGAAACATTTTAGTTTTATATTTTTTCAACTAACTCAATTATAAATTTCAAGCTAGTAACAAATGGAAACCATGGGAGGAAAAATAATGTAGAAGACAACAAACTCCGTTATCTACTCCATTCACCACATGAAGAAAATTGAAATAAAAATATAGAGAACGATATCATGAATAAAGCGAAAACTTGAAACATTTTCGTTTTATATTTTTTCAACTAACTCAATTATAAATTTCAAGCTAGTAACAAATGGAAACCATGGGAGGAAAAATAATGTAGAAGACAACAAACTCCGTTATCTACTCCATTCACCACATGAAGAAAATTGAAATAAAAATATAGAGAACGCTATCATGAATAAAGCGAAAACTTGAAACATTTTCGTTATATATTTTTTCAACTAACTCAATTATAAATTTCAAGCTAGTAACAAATGGAAACCATGGGAGGAAAAATATTGTAGAAGACAACAAACTACCGTTATCTACTAACCATTTGCCACATGAAGAAAATTGAAATAAAAATATAGAGAACAATATCATGAATAAAGCGATAACTTGAAACATTTTCGTTTTATATTTTTTCAACTAACTCAATTATAAATTTCAAGCTAATAACAAATTGAAACCATGGAAAGAAAAATACTGTAGAAGACAACAAATTACCATTATCTACACCATTTGCCACATAAAGAAAATTGAATTCTACAAGATTTGAATGTTTTTAATTGAGAAAATCCAAAAGAAGATCGTGCTGTGAAGAAACATAAAGATAGTTTATATATTAGGACTTTAAAAACTAAATTATTGAAAATTATGAGTCGTAAGTCCAATCAGCCCAGTCCAGTCGAGCAATTGGTAAGGTTTCCTCTCATATTGGTTAATTAATGAATTAAAATGCCAATTAATTAAGCCATGGCCTCTTCAAATAAAAAATAAAAAGCAATATTTAAAAATTTAAAAGAAGTATGAGTAAGGAAATTGAAGCACTAATTCAATCATATTAAGCATAATCATTGAGCCATATGTTTGGAGATACTAGGAATCAAGCAGAGCAAAATCATTAACCAGGAAATTGAATAAGGAGTAAATCGAAAATAGAAGAGAAAAGTGCTGGAGAGAATGCATTGAAAAAAGAAAAAAGAAGAAAGAAGATGCAAAACCAAAATTGTAAAGGCCTAAAAATAAAAACTTGGCAATGACTTAATTAATTGTAACTTTAACTCATTAATTTTAAATACTTTTAGTTAAATTATTGTGAAAATACTAAAAATCTGTTATAATTGTATGTTATTAAGTTATATTTTATAGATTCTTAAAAAATAATGTGTGATTTCTGCATGAGCAGGGTAGCAAAGATATAGAAGAACGCTCTCCAGAAAAGGAAAAACGAAAGTCTAAAGTAAGAGGCGATGAACGTAAAGAGCGTAAGATGAGTCGCAAGAGGGTAAGCATTCTGAAATAGTTACTAAAATAAATTATTTGTATATATTTATTATTTTATTTTGGTCTCATTAAAAGTTAGTCTTATATATTTATGCGGTAACATTGACCAATAAATTTGTTTTCTTCAATTGAAACACATGTTGTGATAAAGGCAGGGTACTGCAGGTTATTTATTAGGTCCTTTATCTATAAAGTTATCACTTTGTATAAAAAATTAAACTACTTTTTTGTGAAAATTATATAAAACACCACTTAATCGCCTTTCAAACTTTTGGTCCTGTAATAAGTTATCCGAATTCCGAAAAATGTGTGTGTTTGATGTGTTTCCAGAGGAAGGTAAAGTAATTTTGAGTCTGTATGTTGTTGTTTAGAAGAGTAATTTCACAAATCTTGGTATATTTAATAACAAAGTTGTCCATCGTCATAATCAATTTTTCTTTGTAGTATTTAACCAGCTTTGAATTGATCATTATCGACTGGTTACTACTTACTTACATACTTGGCGAGTTTGAAATTTCAATACCAGAAGCGATCAAACCGTAAATATAGTTTACGTTTATTTGCGGATTCCATCCAAGTGCAATACCGAAAGTATTGCATACTGTCTGTGCAGCAATTTTTGAGACATGACGTAACTTTTACACAAATGTGATATGACGTCAATTTGAATTTATTGCAATAACAAAAGAACTATAAACTAAAATTATGAAATTGCCATAGCGTGCTACCCCCGTGGTATAATGCCAAGAACCCTGACGGTGTTTCTTCGCTGCATGGCATAAAAGAACCAGCGCTCTTGTTAGGTGCAGATAATTTTCCGGAAATGGTAGAAATTTAATTACATATTTGCATATGCCGTTCTGGCTTCTAACGAAATACACATGATGAGAAGCCGTCATGTTGTCTTCACATATATTCCCACATCCTCTTTCTCAAGGGATCAAAACAATTACCAAAATCATTTGTATCTGAATTTCTAAATTACGTGGGGCGTTCAACGTATTCTCGGTATTAGGGTGATTTACTAATAATGTGGGTAATTAAAAAAATAGGTCACGACACTACCTGAGGGTGTAAATATGAAATTTCGTCTTGATAAATTCATTACTTCTTATGTAATGAAGTTATTACAGTCATAAACGATGGGATTGACTGACTAGACAACGTTGAAAAAAATCGAACACCGTGCGCTGATTAAATTCCTTACTAATGTAAATACAATGAAAAACTCACAAAAACATCCATGAAGAAATGGTCGAAAGACTGCTCCTTAAATGTCAACCGTACAAAAGTGTACGGTTGACATTTAAGTTATGAATGTGTAGTGAATTCAAAAGAGATAGGGAAAAACATCGAAGATACTGTTTCCCCTCGCCCCCCCCCCCCCCCCCCCGGGTGGCCCATACACAATGGCTATAGAAGAAAATATGAAAATTATTGAGAAAATTGTATTAAAAAATGCAAGAGTAAGAATTAATATGTAAGCAGAATATCCGTTGGTACCATCACCATATTACATGACTATCTCAACTCACAAAAGTCAGTGCAAGTGCAAGAGGGGTGCCGCGAATGCTCATTGCGCTTCAAAAGCAGGTGCGGGTTGACTGTTGTAGGGAATTTTTAGAGCTCTGTGGTGACGATCTAACAAGTGTTTTCGGTAAAATAATTACTGGAGATGAACGTGGGTTCACCACTATGACCCTGAGAGTAAAAGAGTCTATGCAATGGCATAAAAATCAGACCCCATCAAGAAGTTCAAAGTCACTCCATCGGCCGGTAAAATCATGGCCACAGTGTTTTGGGATTCCAAAGGGGGACTTTTGATCGAGTGCAAAAAAAGGGAAACCATCAACATAGAAAAATACCCAACCACTTAACGGAAAGGGGAAAGCGATTTGCTGACGATAATGAGCTCAAGTCTGTAAATGATCATTTTTCAGGCCAAGACGAAAAATATTTTTTCAAGGAAATAGAAAATGTTTTTACTCATCAAATCGATCACGGACAATCGTTATCATGAGTGCAGCGTCGCGCTTGGGACGTACTGAAAGGAACCAACTTGTTTTGGCCAGCTTGGTTAAGTCAAGGTGTGCTGACCCCTAGAAAATGTTTTTTCATGAACAAGTAAATGTATTGATGTGATGGGAGACTATATTGAAAAATAAAAAGTTTTATCTTTCTATCATACCCATGCCGAGAATACATTGAACACCCCTCGTAAATGCACCAAATGTGAAAGTAGTCAATATTAGAAACTATCAATTTCATAGGCAAGGGCCTAATATCTCTGTTAGTTTGTGTTCATTAAATAATGTAATTTTGAAAGTATTTTGTAAAAGCAAAAAATATTTTTAAGTAGTGGTTTTTTCAACTGTAGACAAAAGTTATCAATCCAATGTTATGTAATGTAATGTAACCGAATATAAAATATAAATAATTGAACTATTTTATTCAAAACTAATGTTTTTTTTTTAAATTTGTGTAAGTTGTAATAAATAATTATTATCTGATGATTGAAAAATTAGCACAGAGTTAATTATTTAAATTTTAATGAAAACATTGTGCATTTTACATTAGTTTAGAATTTTTAAATTAACAATAAGTCCTGATTTTATCTAAGCTAATGTTATGATTAGTATGTGGTGCTAATATGGGGTACATGGGATTATTTTCTGCCTAGAGTCTGTCTGGATTGAAAATTACTCTTACTGCAAGCAGTGCACCAACTACTATGTTCTGGTTTGAGGATAACAGAGTCAATATAATAACTGGTTGTTAAGTACTTTGCTAGAGCCGCGCTACAGCTGCACTGGTGTCCTACCATGCTCGCACTGAATACCAGCGTGAAACCGCAGAATAATGCTGGAGACCCTTTTTACTAGTAAAGGCGCATTCCGTCTTAGTTCTCTGGGTTGACAGTGCATCTGCATTTTCATTGTTAATCGACTTTCCGTTACTAAATCCAATTATATTCGTTAGAATTTAATCCATGGGATATCTTATATTTATTTTACCAGACTCGTAATAAATTTGACGTCAAATACTTTTACTCTTAAATGGAATGAGTGATACACAATCCTAAATTTTTCTGTATTTAATTGAAAATCTGGAAACGATATTGTGATACATTAGGACAGAACGAAATTTATAAGTATTCTTTGTATGGCAACGGATTGCGAACAATAAATAAAACTTTATTATTAGGTTGGACAGTTAGATAATTTTGGTATGTGGTTAATTTAATGAGGTAGCTAATTAGACATATGTAGGCATCGTAGTTACATTTTAGATATATGAAAGTAAACATAGTAAACATAGACCACCTTATTACAAAAAGTAGTTTCTAATTAGTCCGTCACTTAAAGCGAGTATTTCTCTGTTGCATGCGTATTTGTTCTGCACGAAGTAAACGTGCGTATGGTTATACCTTTAAAAAAACGAGTAATCGAAAATTATAATTTTTTTAAATAATTTTTTATTAGTTAAGTAATATGTTTAACACAAGAGTGCACGCGCGCTCTACTATGGTAGAACACACTCACTCATTTTGGCGCCATTCATTCATTTTTACTCCTGAGCCCCCGCGCTCCTTGTTAAGCTTCGTCGACGAAAACACGGAAAGGATTAGTACGGCGCACACCTGCAGCGTAAGCGCATATTTCCGTAATTAGGTGTCAAAGTTCAGCTTCTACCATTGTAGTACGTGCGAGTATTGACGAAAAAAAACTGAATGTAAGTAAATTTATTATTTTGTGACTTTTTTACTTTACAATGTATTAAATTTGAATGTTTATTTTTTGACAATGGAACAATAACTATACTGTTTGCAGTTCAGCATATTAGTGTGTATTTAATAATTATTATTACTTTGTTTTAGCGAAATAAATGGATCCACACTAAGAATTTCGCTTGAGCCAGTGGTTGCATGAAGAACAAGATGATGAATAAGTGATTCAAAGTGAATCTGATGATGAGGAAGAAGGAGTACAACCAATGGAACAGGAAGACCTAGTACAGGAAGCCGTAAACGAAAACCATGCGTCATCGTCTGAAGATGACATGCCTCTTTCTGAACACGCTCAGAACAATACACGAGATGATGTTTATGTATCTAGAAATGGAACACGGGTGGAGTAAAACATGTACTGCAGCAACACGGGTAAGATCTCAAAACATCCGGTTTAGACCTCCAGGTCCAAAGGGTGCTGCAAGAAACGCTGAAACGCTATTATCTTGTTTCGATCTATTTTTTGATGCGAGTGTTTTCTATATCCTTGTTACTTGCAAAACAAATCTGTCGCATTACTTTCTACAATGCACTACGACGATGCTATAGATCCAGAAACCAATGATGACCGTAAACCGGAAATAATTACTTGTTATAAACGTACTAAGTGTGGCGTGGATATTCTCGACAAAATGTGTAAGCAGTACAGCGTTTTGCGAAACTCCCGACGATGGCCGCTAATAATACTTGTTTTCAATTATTTGAATATAGCTGGAATAAATGCCTTGATTATCCATCAACTAAATAAAGGCCAGGAAAAGATTGTGAGACGCAATTTCCTCTACGATCTTTCGTACGAGCTGGTAAAACCCCTCATGGCAAGAAGATTGACATTTGAAAACCTCCGCCAGAGAATAAAAAAATAAAACAAAATGGCTTCTGGGGCATACAGATGAGGAGCCTCGCAATGAACCTCAAAGAATGGGAAGAGTAGGCAAATGTTGCCTGTATTCTCGAGCCCGAAATCGGTCCACGATAAAGTGGTGTAAACGATGTGCCAGGTGGATTTGTCCTGATCACCAAGTTGTGGTCTCTATCGAATGCGAGGATGGGAACAATAAGATAGTTACCTATTATTAGAAGTTTTTTTTTGAGCTGATCTCAAACATGCGAAAAATGTTGATTATTTAGTTGATCTCTTAAATTGTTCCTAAGTTAAGTATATTGTATTAAAACTCAGATTTTTGCAATAACTGTGTGTAATTATAAATAAAGAACCAATATTATGCAGATTTATCATTTTAAAACCACCCGCTTTTTAAATATTTACAATATTGTTTTCTACCAGGGTAGAGCATGCGAGCATCCATGTAAAAAAAGGGGCGCGTGCACTGTAGTGTTAAAGTAATTTAAAATCATTCTATTTGCAATCTAATTAAGTTTTTAATGTCTTCACGTGTAAAATTCGTGTCTATAATACTATATTTTGCCAGGCTTGAAATTAGAGTGTTTCATTAAAGAGGCTTCGTGGAAAATATTCGAATTAAAATGCAAAGTATGGAATTTCGAAGACTTCCATAAACACGAGTTCTCAATAAACTATGTTTTGTAATACGACCGAGATTGTTAATTTTATATCATCAATGAATGATAGTTATCTAATGTTATGCACATAAAACGTAATTTAAAATTCGAACCTTATAAAACACTTTTGTATAATATTTTGCAATATATTTTTGTTTAGGATAGAGCTGAAGAGTCGGTGCTGTTGGAACAAAAACGGCGCCGCGAAGAACAAAAAGGTTAGAATATTTTGTTTACTATCAAGTTTATTTAATAGTATCTTTAATTTAAAACAATCTTTAATCATATTGACTCTCGCAACGATGGATCTATATGAACAGCTGTAGGATATAATAATATCTGCGATCATCACCATCAGTATAACTTTCATAAGTTCAATGTTGAATGGCATATATTTACATAGATTGTCATGAAGAATGGTCTTGAGACACCTTCATCCACCTATTCGCTTCACGTCTTTTCTCTATGTAATCCACCAAGTAGGAAGACCGGCTCCTATTGACCTTGCTAGTACGACGCTATTACCTTAGGTTCTCCCAAATATATAACCGGACTTGTCGCTTCAGCTAACTAAGTTGGTTAATCTAGTTTTACTGCAACTATCGGTAGCGCCGCCACGAGCCAGTATTGAAACGTGCTTTTATATTCCTTTCATCAGGTCCAGTATGAAAATAAATAAGTTGTAAACAAAATAACTATAGCTACAGTAATATGTATGTTACACTTTTCCTGACTTAATTTAAACCCGCTACTTAAATATTAATAAAACAACTTAAATTAAATATTAATTATCTTTATTACTTAAATTAAATATTAATTGTAATTTGAAAAGTACGGAAGCAACTTGAAGCATTACTTAAATTGACGTAGGTTTTTATCACTGAAGCTGATTCCCTTAATTATGAATTGTGTTAGTTCATTAACGACTTTCAGCATTTACTATCGGAATGTGTTAATTTCAAGAGAGAAAAAGAATTATTGATGTAAATTTTTGAGATAAATATGTGCAATTTAGGCGTTAGTTCAACTGTATTTAGCGGAACTACTGTCAGACGCTGCAAATTTGGTTTATATGGATATGAAACAACAATGATTCTAATTCTTCTCAACAAGGTTTATTTTCAACTGTGTGTCTTTAAGATAAAGGTATGATAGAGATGATATTCGGGATAAAGCCCCTAAATAAATAAAGAGAAAAAAGTCGATTGTTATGAGTGAGGCCGTTAGTCGCAGTTAGTTGGTAGTAGTTAGTTATACGTGGTGGAGCCACTCTGCAGCTATATTATGATTGTAGCACGAATGGATTGGCTCGACCGGGGAAGAAGGACCACGCTCTCACAGAAGACCAACGTAAAATAGCAGCTTAATGCTGGCTGTGTTTCGTATGGTGAGTGTAGATATCTTTTTTACTGGATACGAGGCATTCCATCTCAGTCCTCAGGGGTGACAACGCGTCTGCATTTTGTCAAGTGGACTGTGTGCTCGTTTGTCACCCTTATTCTTTAAAAAAAATAGTCATTATGATTTCTTCATGAATTTTCATAGGTCGTACTATTTGTTTTAATATAGTTTTTTAATGGGATAGATTGACAAACGAGCACACTCTCCACCTGATGGTAAGTGGTTGCTGCGGACATCTACATCTATCCTCGATTACAAATCAAAATGCAGATGCGTTGTCACCCGTGAGGACTAAGATGGAATGCCTCGTTTCCAGTAAAAAGGGTCCCCGGTTCTCTACACTCACCATACGAAACACAGCAGCATTAAGCTACTATTTTGCGCTGGTATTCTGTGAGAGCGTGGTCCTTCCCCGGTCGAGTCAACCCATTCGTACTACAACTATACTACTAACATAACTGCAGCATCGCTCTACCACGTTTAAAAAAGTTTTATTTTACCGTCACTTTAGATTAGAACGGTTGCAATGTAACAATTATGGCTCGTATTATGGCTCGTCTTCTGACAATTGTAAAATTAGTATATGTTATTTATCTTTATCTTTCTTTTTTTGGATATTATTTTAAACAAGTGGCATGAATATCATTATAATATATATTATAATTATAACAGTATAATACATATAATATTTATTTATAGTTCATTATAGTCCCTCAGTGAATAAAACAAATTTTATCGTGTTTGATTTTGCCTTATTTTACAGCTGTCGTGAAATTGGGAAGTCATCAGAATGGCTCACAAGAGGATCATCACTATGACAAGTACCATAAAAGGGTGAGAATGGAATTTATAATATTTTTATTAGCAAAATAATACTTCCGTCATAAAATTACGGTAATTTAACTTCAGTTAGCAGAACAGTATTACAATCATCCTGTCTCGCCGAGTGCTGGAAAAAAATATTTTTGAGTATAGTACTTTATAAGTCCAGCATCCTTAACAGTTTGTCTCCGGAAAGTACTCGCGAGCAAAAGACTCGCGTGTATGAGAAAACAACATCCTAAAACATATAATCCGTATGTAAGATTTTAACTAAAAAATAAATAGTTATGAATAGTCACTGTGCCTTTGGTAAAGGAAAAGACTTTATTTCAAGACTTGTGCTCTTCTGAATTGTTTGCAGCGGCGCTAGATTGGCTAGCGTATGTATCTAGGAGTGAGATAGGGAAGGGTTGTTGTTATATTCAAGATGTTATATTCAAGAATTGTTTACGAGTACGCTGCCGTCAACTATAAATGCACTTACCTTTTGCCAATGTATGTTTTGATACCTTGGTAGGAATCGTTTACGTGGAAGAGCCACGCAGTAGCTATATTATGGTTGTAGTACGAATGGGTCGGCTCGACCGGGGTAGGACCACACTCGCAGAATACTAGCGTAAAATAGCAGTTTAATGCTGTGTCTCGTATGGTGAATATAGAGAACCAGAGACCCTTTTAACTGGAAACGAGGCATTCCATCTCAGTCATCACGGGTGACAATGCGTTTGTATTTTAAATTCTTAATTGAAGATGTCTATGAGCCACAGCATTACAAATAAAAAAAGAATCGCTATAAGAAGCGAGTCTTAGGAAATCCTTCATGTCGGTAGAACTATTGATCTTAGTTCGAATTTTAACGTGACAATGGGTTTGCCCATTTCATATACTAATAACTGACAATAGTGGGAACCTCGAAGTTGTTTAAAACTATGTCCATTTTGTGTGAAGAAGTGCATTTGGATAAGAACAATTTTAAGAAAGACTTCTATTCTCATCATGGCTGTCTTAATTAGTGCAATATAGTATATAAATTGACCTCAAATTTGAATGTTAGCAAAATTAGTTGGAAGTACACATCAGCATTTGAAAACAAAATAATCGAAAAAAACCTCTTCTTTATTCATACTTTAATATGTTTCTTAAATTATGATGTGAAATTTCTCTTTTCAGGAGAAATCGCCTTTTCGCGACCGCTCGCATGAAGAACCAAGAGACAAACAATATCCTTTTTAATAACTTTAATTTTCGTTGAATATGAAATTTTTAAAACTCATTTTCTTAATTCTGAAACGAAAATATTACCCTAAACTATTATGTTAAATGTTAACCAAGATAGAAATAATATTTCCATAGCTGGCGAGTTACAGAAAGTTTGTTGCGTTGAAGTTAGTGGTCTTACCAGGAAGAATAGAGGGAGGAGATGGATAGATGACCAAGGAGAGGATGGCGCTGCGTATTTTTGCAAAAACGTGTCGTGATCCTATCGATACGCGGTGAATATTATATGGTTTTAGCTGTTGCAATTCCGATATAACCTATCCGTCTCGGGTATATATGGGGTTTATACTGTTCGAGGACCTTTTTATAGTGGTGGGTCGTAATGTCGAATTTTTGACGAAAGAAACGCAACCGTTTTCCCGACGAAGAAAACGGTTGCAGAAAACAGTCGTCGTTGCAACTGGTTTGAAGACTGCTGGAAGGACGAAACGTATCCAACATGGAATAGGATTGTGTTTTCGTCGAGTGAAATGGTTGCAATTTCTTATAACTATCAACGACTTTCGACTTACGAATGCGGAACCAAAGACTACAATAAAAAGCGGAACGTTAAGTACGACGACGCGACGAGTGGGATAGAAAGTTGAATCATTGCGTTCTCAACAGTATTTTCATAGGCGTAAAATAAAAATTCGAAGACTGGTTTGTGCAACGAAGACTGTTTGAACCCAGGACGCAAAACAGTTCCAACGTCACAGAACACATAACGGTCTTTGTAAACGGTTCGTCGTCGCAACACTCACCCCTACTTTATTATTATTCCTTTTATCAACTCCCACTGATCCAATACTGTATTGGCTTCCCCTATTTAATCTCTTCAAGCCAATCAACAGATTATCTAATGGTTTCTTATATTTACGCGTACACTACACATTGATTAAAACTACTTTTACGGATTTTATCGCGTTTAATTTTAATTTTAATTATTTTAATTTTTAATTCTCGACGTTTCGGGTGCTTTCCAGCACCCATGGTCACGGGGGACTGAGATGACTGACGTCCCGATGTCATTGTTAAACCCGGAGTACCTTCAGCTTTTTTAATTATTGTTTATGGTCCGATCTATGCAAAATGAATTGCCTATGTTGGATGTTTGCATGTGTCTAGTTGGATGGTTTATTATTGTGATCACAAACTGCATCATATCCTAGACGGCTCCAACCATTACATCAGATTTGATAAACCACAAATCCTCACGGAAGAACACCGATTCCTACTAAAATGATACGTGAGGCTATTAAAATTAAAAAACATCCTAATTTCAATAGAGAAGGAGGCTGGGTACTACCACCTGCTGCAATTTTATTGATTATAGGGTCCCAACCCTATAATCAATAAAATTAGAACTAAATCCAAGCATACTACTGCAAGACCTCAGGACATAGTCGGTTCATTTTGCATAGCTTGGACCATAAACAATAATTAAAAAAGCTGAAGGTACTCCGGGTTTAACAATGACATCGGGACGTCAGTCACCAAAGTCCCCCGTGACCATGGGTGCTGGAAAGCACCCGAAACGTCGGGAATTAAAAATAAAAATAATTAAAATTAAAATCAAACACGATAAAATCCGTAAAACTAGTTTTAATCAACAGATTATCTAAGAAGGTAACGTTTCCATACATTCTTGGGCTCAGGTGTTAAACAAAATGAAAATAGGGCCATTTGAAAGCTTACATATAAACAACTCATAGCTGAAAATTTAATAAGTTTTGTCATTCTAGGAGCCGAGTTATGGTAGAATAAGTAAAAGATTATGTGTAACAGTCTAGTTTGCCTACTTTGAGTGTATTACAAATAAAACAATGGTCCATGATATCAATATCCAATCGCAATGCTTATGACGTATTCCAAAATAATAAGTCATGTAAGCAAGATTCTCGGACGAAGCAAGCAAGCGATCAATAAAAAAGCAGGATCAGCATAGAATCCTGTGGTTATCAAAGAAACGAAATGGTGAAATGAATAACGAAACTTAAAACAAGAACAAGTGATAAGTAAAGTGAATAGTAGGTATGTCATTCCGGGATCGATTGCTTTAATTGTTGTTATTACTATTATTTGTCATAATGATTTCTTAAATTTACGCGAACACTACACATTGAATAAAACTAAATTTACGGATTTTATCGCGTTTATTTCACTACTTTTACTTATTTTTAATTCCCGACGTTTCGGGTGCTTTACAGCAAATACAAAATAAAGGAATTAAAAGTAAGTAAAAGTAGTGAAATAAACGCGATAAAATCCGTAAATTTAATCCGTAATTTTTTTTATTCAATATTATTTGTCATGTTAATATTTTGTACTTTTTAATTATTTTGCAGTTATATGCGCATTTCTTTTTTATCTCCATAGCTTACACAAAATAATAATAGAAGTTATATCTTAAAATACTCTATTTAATCGAGAATCGTATATTCAAATCGAATATTGCGCTCGTTTAAAATCGTATCGGAAATCGGGCATTTTCTTATGTAAGTAGTTTTAAGGTTGAACTGTTAAGCCAAGTTTTAAAATGAGAAGACGTTCAGTGGTAGGTAGTGCTCGAAAACGAAAATTCGATTATGTTAATCGATTTACTGCCATATATAACTGTTTATTTCTTAATTTCATATATTATTATATTTCATTTCCAAATGGTTTCAAATATCATTTAAAGTAAATAACATAATTTAAATGTAACCTTGGAAGCTATTTTAATTTATTATTATTTTTCGTATCCGAATAAAGATAAAATAGATATTTTAATGTTTTATCGAATTCTGGATTGTTGTAAAATGAGCTAGTTTTTTGTATTTTTTACGTGGTAGAGCCATGATGCAGCTATATTAATTGTATAGTTTTAGCACGAATGGGTCGGCTCGACCGGGGAAGGACCACTTTCTCACAGAATACCAGCGTCAAATAGCAGCTTAATGCTGCTGTGTTTCGTATGGTGAGTGTAGAGAACCGGAGACCCTTTTTACTCGAAAAGAAGTATTCCATCTTAGTCAAGGCTGACAACGCATCTTCATTTTGATTCGCAAACGAGGATAAATAATGTAGATGTCTATGGGCCACAGCAACCACTTACCATCAGGTGGACTGTGTGCTCGCTTATCACTCTTTTCCTATAAAAAAATACTTCAGAAAAAATATAGCCATTTTTTAAAGTTTAAGCCAATTTGTTAACTTCAGGCCCAAAAATCCCAATCTCTTTTGTTTTGTAATTTCTACTTCTTACCTGCGATTCTTTTTATACGCTCTATTTTAACTGGACCTTTACATATCCATGTATAGTATCATCATATCAGTTTTCATTCATTTCCAGACGTTTGAAATTACTGATAATTTGCAGACTTACTACACATATCAGTTTTCATTCATTTCCAGACGTTTGAAATTACTGATAATTTGCAGACTTACTAAGAACCGGCGAAAACACAACAATTTCATGACTACGACCTAGCTAGTATTCACACTAGAATCATCACATCTCATGATCAATGCGTGTCTTTTATGTATTGTTTTAAACTCGGATATTATTCTTATGCCTTATTATGTAATATATAGATCATTCCTCCTGTAACATGAGGGCGCTTTGTATCTTGATCATGTTAAATAATTTAAATTTATTATGTGATTTACGCCCTTTCATACCTAAAAGCTACCACTTAGTATACATCTTTACACTATGTCACTTCCACAATTGAGACGAATTTAGCGGCATCCTGAATTAAAGTCACACACATACATATATTCATATTGTTGCGCGCCTAAGTTGACGTCTGGCACTAGCGCCATCTAGTGTCGGGTAACAGAGCTAGGAGAGCTTTCCAGAAAATTATATGACTAATCTTTTAACCAACAGCGCCATCTAGTATCGAATTGAAGAACTAAGCATTCTAGAAGCCTCACACTCGAACTTTCTGCGTCTGGACGGTCGGCGCCCGTATCTACGGGAATATTCTGGATGTTTCTGCTTAAAAGTGTATTTAAACGCAGTGGCGTGCCGCGATCGGGGCAGTATTGAATTTGGCGAGACAAGCGAAGCTTCGGAGTGAAATAAAGTGAATCAGTGTGATTAATTATTAGTGTCTTTTAAGTTTTAATTAGTGTAAAGTGAATTAAAGTGTTAATTTTGGTAATTCTATCGGCAATTTTTATTGTCACGAACCCTAAGCTCGTAACAATTGGTGTCATGCCGATTTTAACTAAGGAGGAAATGGAGGGTAGGGTACGGCCGTACCCGAAGTCAACGCCTGCAGGAGACGGACCAAAGAACATTTGGTGGTGCAACGCCGCAGACCTCAGAGGGCCAGCCACCGGCTGCAGGCCCGTCAGTAGCTCCTACATCTGCAGCACCCGACTTAGGTACTCTGATGGTGATGCTGCAGGAACAGGCTCGCCGACAGGAGGAACAGTTCCGTCGGTTGGAAGAGCAGTTACGGGGCGGACAGGATGAACAGACCCGCCGACAGGAGGAACAGGCCCGCCGACAGGAGGAACAAGTCCGCCGACAAGAGGAACAGGTCCGTCGGTTGGAAGAGCAGCTGCGGGGCGGACAGGATGAACAGGTCCGCCGACAAGAGGAACAGGCCCATCGGTTGGAAGAGCAGATGCTCCTCGTGAAAGACCTTCACGCTACCTTCGGAAAAGAGATACGGGAGGTGAAGGATAAGGTTGCTCAACATGACAACCGCCTGTCGGAAGCTGAAATCCGAATCGACCAAGTAAACAATCGGGTTGACAACGCTGACATGAAGAAATCACTGGACGAACTCAAACTTGGAGATGGTACTACAGCTCCCATAGTAGCTACAACACCTTCGCTACGTGGGTTCAAGGTTCACCGTTCGACGAGACTTCTTCCTGGTCAGCCTACAAAATCCAGTTCGAGGCTGTTATGAAGGCGAACGGCTGGAATAAAAGTCGGGCCATGACTGCTCTCACACTAGGCTTGCGCGACCAGG